GTTTTCGTTTGACGGCTGGACCCAAAAAACCAGATTCTACGGGAGAGAGGATCATTAATACGGGCATCGTAGAAAACACATTTCAAAGTGGTTTCTCGTTTGGTTTTAGTTCGATTTCCTAGACTTCAAACAGCTGCTAAAAGCTTTCTTTACCCAACGACTTGGTGTGGTACATTTTTTTTGCCTTTCCGCGCTGAGATAAGGCTGTCACGTAAATAAGCTCACACACAAAAAGTCCCCAATCTAATCTTGGATTGCGTATTGTCGGCGTATTCTAAAATTTCGATTTATGCCAATTCACGGTCAATGTTTTTCCAATTCGAATCACCCGCAACCCTTTAAACACGTATCAGTATGAAAGCTTTTCGCATTTCCGTTTCACTTTTTCGCCATAAACAAGCGAATCTGAATTATGCAATGATCGGTCGTTGAACGAACAGTTTTGATTCTTCAGCTGTTAGCTCCTTTTTGTTTTTGTCATTCTGAATCGAGAATTGGAACGGGGTACAAGTTCATTGTACGCACTTTTTTATATGTGCCTCTTATTCTGCTTATTTTTTCGATATATCTTTTGTGGCTGCTGACGTTATAGAGTTCAGTGCCTTCAGATAAGCTTAGGAAGAATTGTGTGCATCATAGGTTTTGTTATTTCTGAAAATAAAGTTAATTGCACCCTCGAAGCGGACTTAGTATTTCCCTTATGGAAATTACATTTTTTCTTGAAACCATTTACAGTGCACGCTCTTAATGTTTTACGTCAGAATTATAATTCTTGACATTTTATTATGAACTATTAATTGTTGTAGTTAACTCAGTTGGATGCACAATTAGTTCGTTTAAAGTTCACTTTGTTGGTATAATAACATACATATTTTAAAGCGTTTATTTCGACATTTTTATTTTAACAAAATACATAATTAAACAAAAATGTTTATTGAATAACATATAATGTCAGATTATTGTAGAATAATACTTTTTAATTTAATAAGAGATTTTAAAGATTATGCTTTCAATATAAATTTTTGTAAACGATTATTACGATATACGACATTTACAAGCGGTGGGGAACACTGTTGTGAATTAACCCCGGCAAACGGCATCTGAACTTCGAGTGCGGTACGACGGCATTTAGCACCTTTTTATTTTTACTTTTTATCGTAAAATATTTCCCACTTGATGTGTGACTCACACACTCAAACAAATAAATACTGGTGTCGAGAGCGTATTTTTTTTGTTGTGGGTGCCGTCTCTGTCGTTTTTCTTGTTGTTTTTCTGGACTATAAATAGCCCAGCACCGAAGATAAAATTTAAAATATTGCCATTTTATTATATAAAATAGACGTGTGTACGAGAATAAGGCTCTCTCTGCGCTCTCCCAGTATTGAAAATGCACAGATATGGGGAAAAACAATACGAAATATGTTTGTATGTTTGGTCGTACAATGTCCAAGGTATTTGGGATTCCCGTGTGGGCAATTACCAATAAGGCGTGCTTCGGTTGTCCGGAATCGCTGCCCCATAAGTCCCTCAACTGTCCGATCCCCAGATCCAGAGCCCCACTCGGTTTGCCATCATTATCGGGTTGCTCTGGCAATTGATTATTCACTCCGCACACTCGTACACCTCGTATGTACTGGCCCGATTACTTCTGTATGTACATACAGCCGTTATTGCTCTCAGTCGCGGTTGCATTTCAAGCACAGTTGTATTTCTTTCCGTTTTTTTGTTTCGATTTAGTAGGTGCAAAGTCTCTTAATTAGTTAGAACTGCATTCATTTTCCTTGGTACTTCCACTGATGTAGAAAACTTTAAAACGTTGCAATAATATTGTCAGAGCAGATCTGGATTTATCTTTTAAATGTTTTCATTGAATTTTGATTGCTAAATATAATTATTTTCTCTTTTCTGAGAAATCAACTCAATTAAGCAATGGAAAAGCATTTTTCCATATTTTTTGATCATTTTCTTCTTAAAAATATTAATGGTATTCATTAAAAAACAAATTCATTTCAGTAATAAATTATGTTTATTCGAAGGGCTTTCCATTTATTGATAGCCTTACCTTCATTTCGCTTACGCATACATACATATTTTACTTCAACTGCACTTATACCTTAAAAATGTAAATAATATTAAGTGGTGTAATTTTACATTTTTTCAAAATGCTTTTAAGTCAAAGTGACGACGTTTAAATTTCAACTACTAAATTTATTTAGCTAAACTATTGTCTTAGCTGTGATAAGATAATATGACACTTCTTTATAACTTAGGACTTAAATGTGATACTAGTTACTTCTGGAAAATACTCATTTCTCTAGAACCGCTGTATTTATAAGCAGACCATAGTTTTCTCCACTTCCTGATAACAACCTCATATTTCATTTTTTTTGATAGGAAGTGCTTACATTTTCTTTTTTTATGGTCTAGCCCTGGTCGGTCGGTTTATCGATCGATCGTCTTCTGGTCTCTGTGAGAGATTGTAGCTGGCAACTCTGGTGTTCTGCAAAAGATTTCCTATAACATTTACCCTGTGGATTTAGAATGTATATATGTATATATATATACAAACCTAGCTGAGAGGCCCGTCCCCGTTGATTTTCTTGTTGCCCCATTTCCTCATTGGGCATTGTTATCACTCGTGTTTCTTTTGCTGTTGTTGTTAAGAAGTGTATCACAAAGAAAACTGCTCGTGCACAGCTGACAGCTGCAACGCTCTTCGAGCACAAGTATCTTACATACATATATGGTGAACCACAGCGACGAGTGTGTCATCTATTTTCCACCCGTGAGATTATACATTTTCACATTTGTATGTGTATATGCACCTAGGGGAATGGATTGTGAGACGTCTTTAGGGAAGCATGTTTCGACGTTCGTGAGCGTGTGCGTTTGCCTCTTCTCTTGAGCATTCCAATGCACACGTTTTTTTTCCATCTTTCTCGAAATGTTTCCATTTATTACGCCTCGTAGAGAATAGGGGTATATTGCTTTGACAGAATGAAACCTATTTCACCCCAATAGAATATCTTGGATAATCTATTGTCTGAAAAGGTAAAATGTAATACTGCAAGAATGATTCTTATCTAATTGAATCTGCTACCGAGATGTATTTAAAAATCAAGTCCGCATAAAAACCATAAGAGTTAATCTTAGACCTATGTAAAATATTTAAATATGATAGCTTTTAAAATTTGTATTATTTTAGTTTTATTTTTGACGGGGTTTTAATCTGAGAAGTCAAATTCAACTCAAAATCTGACTTTCGACTGTTACACACAATCCTTAATCTTTTATAAATTCTAACCACATTTTTAAAGATTATTTTCCGTAATATCTAAAATTCTTAATCTGCACTACTGATTGCTGAGTATCTTAAAGTCTGTTTCGTGCACTTCCTACTTGTTCATTGTTTTCCATTTCCTTGGGTTCTTAGCGGTTGATGGCTCCTGTTTCCTGCGGCGGCCAGCTGTTGTCGAGGTCCTCGGGTTTCCTTTTGCCTGTCCTTTGCCCCTGACCCTGTGCCGTCACCTCCCATTCCTCTTTCCACTTCCATCGCTCCCCTCATCACTCTTCGTGTTGTATCAGTGCATTGGCCTCTCGGCGTTTTTCCCTCAATGCTATTTGAACAAAAACGAAACTTGAAATTGTATTATGGTTGCTTGGTGGCTGCGCTGCGACTCTTTGTTGTTTTATATGCACAGTTGAATATATTTCAGCTAATTTGTTTAAAGTTGACTGCGAATTTTTTGTTACCGAGGCGGTCACACAACAACACACATACAGACCGTCCAGGGACAGTATTGTATTTACAGTTGAGGTGAAGAAAATGGGACTTCAATTAAAATTCAAGAATTATTTAAATTGTAAACCGTGAAATAATGCATTGTATTTCCTGCGACTGCTCTTATTTGACGTACTTGCATATGAATAGTTGAATACTTAAATATCAAATTCGTTGAATTTCCAGAAAAAAATAATGAATATAATAAAAATGGTTTTACAAATTAAACATTTCTATAAAGACAATTTCTAAACTGGTTTTAGATTTCAAACTCGAATATTGGATAACCAAACATTTTAATATTGTTTAATATTTAAAATAAAACAAAAAAAAAAACTATAAAAAGTTAAATTGTATGAAGGTATATATATGTATTTAACGACTTTTGAGTGACTTTTCTTCAAACCTCATTTGTGGGCATCCTTTTCTCGTGGGATATATTTAGTAAAGTAAAAGGGGGAGGTAATATTCTGTGTTTTCTAACGACCAAAGGCGATATCTTCCCATCTCCTTGCTCTGGCCAGTCTATAGAGGTTAGTTGTTGTCTCCCTCACTCCTACGGGCAGGTGTGCGCCCTTGACTGTTTTACCTTACTTTTAACCACTGGCAAGTTGGGAAAAACGAAATAGAAATATAATTTCATTGTGGGATACAAACAAGTACTTACCTTACGTACATATAAGCACGTGTTGCTGTGTGTGTGCAGCTTAAATTCCTAGCGAAAAAAACAAACAGAACAGAGATAAGCCAGGCAAAAAAAAAACGGTAAAGGCAGAAAAACAGGCACGACGAAAATGCGAACACTCAAAACAAACACACACTCACACATAAAAGTTAGAAGATCTGCGCTACGGTAAATCTACCTGAAAGCGGAAAATTTTTGTATGCAAAAATGTCAAAAGTGAACAAAAAATACCAAAACAACAACAACGGGGCAAAAATATGACGGAGCGAATAACGCGTGCGCGCTGCTCTCTTTGCTAAGAGAACCTTGAATAAAAGACGGAGAGTAAAAGAGAGCAGCGAGAGGCTAAAGCGAGTAACATAAACACAAAACAGCTGAGCGCGAAAACATTTGATCGCGAATCCCTAAACGCGAAATAAACAAGAAAAAAAATGCACAAGTAACGGTTACGCGGTGGAATGGGAGAGTGGAAAAAACAATTTCAAGTGCAATGCAAATAAAATACTAAAGTGTTTCCCTTTTTTATTACCAAAGTGTAGAGTGAAATTAAGTCAAAGCAACAACAAGGCGTCGGAGCAGAAATCACCAATATAAACAAAAAAGCAACAATCAACCTACAAGTATGCAAAACAACCTATAAACGTGATTATATACTAAAATTGGTCACAATATTGCAGCAATACAGAAGTCAACGTCCAAATTTAAAGCTCATTTTGCGTGTGTGTTGCTGCCTTTATCGATTGACCGATACCCCAGCCTCTGGCCAATCGATACAACTCGCATTTACCAACACTGCTGGGCGAGAGAGCAGAGCGAGTGAACGCAAAACAGCTGATTGCGACTGGCACACGCTTGTTGTTGCAGTTGGGCTGTTTTTTTCTTTCTGTTTTGTTGGAACTTTTTCGCTGCAACGCGAGAAAGAGAACGGGGAAAGAGAGCAGCAGAAACAACTACGTGTGACGTGGTGTGGGGGCATACAGGTGGCAAAACAGCTGTTCCAACAGCAAAATCAATCTGTTTTTTAGTAGAATACATAATCAATTGTAAGTACGCCTTGCATTGTTTGCTTTTTATCCAACACTAAGCTGAACTATTTCTTATAGTGCCGCCTGCAGTTTTCCAGCTAAATACATACACACAATCAAAAGTAAGCATTTTTTTTTTTAATATTTGCTAAGACGTGCCCAAATCACAAACACAAGCGCAAAAAGAGAGGCAAAAAATAAGAGATTGACGAGTGCCAAGTGCGCACATTATAATATTGTAAACTTGTTTTTATTTCTGCTTTGCTTTGCTTAACTGCTAAAAACAAAAACAAAGTAAAAGACGGCAAGTGATACAAGGCACGTACAAACTAAATAAGCGAGAGAGCCAAGAGAGGCTAAGAGAGATCACTCGCTACTTCCGTTCTCTCTTCTCTCACTTGTAATAAACGAGTGCAAAGAGAGGAACAGCAGCAGAAGCAACAACAACATCTAGCGACGGGCAACCACTTGAAAGCAACTCGTTTCGATTTCATTTAGCAGATACCTTTTGTACGTTGATTAAGATACCTTGGCACACACAGACGCACTACAAAGGAAGAGAAGACAACTAAACTGCACTTAAAAAACATACATAAAACAACTACAAATAAAAAACGACAAATTCAGAACAGTTTCAAATGAAAGTAGCAAAAATTCCACTTAACCAAAAATGTCTTGAGTAAATGTGTCTCGAACGCGTAAAGCGTACGATTATGTGTGTGTGAGTGATACTCAATACAACCGCAGCACAAAAAGTGGTTAAAAGGCATTAAAATTAAACAATATTTCAAGTGCTGAAATTAAAATTTCAATTTCGTGTGCGTGTGCAAAGAAACGTTTCAGTGTGTCTCAGTGCACACTGCGATAGACCAAAACGTACTTATGTATCTATGTGCAACTAAAAAATATAATAAGCAGAGCCAGTGCCAGTAAAATATATAAAAATCAGCGTACAAACACAGATGATTTTTAGCAAAAAAAGCGAAAAGGAAAAAATAAAATCAAGCACCAACAACAACAAGTCGCGGAGAAGCCAATCAAACCCAGCAGTTGTCTCGCTTCGACGCGCTTGCCTGCGATCGTCGAGCGAGCAAGTGAGAGAACGCGAGGCCAGTCACGGACGTGTGCGAGCGGTGCAGGGCATTGATTTGCCGTCTTTGATTTTGCTTATGACCTGAGGTGCTCTCTTACATACATCCAAACATCCAGGCATACAAGCGAGTGCTGGTGCGAGCGAGTGAGAGACACGCGACAAACGCACGCACACACATATTGACACCTGGCGCAGGAGTCGCTACTTGCGGCACTTTCAACTATAAACAGCAACAAAAGCAAAGGGGCAGAAGAGAGCAGTAGAGCAAAAGCCTCCTCCCCCGTCTCCCTCGCTCAGTAACATTAAAAACAACAAAAACAGGGACAAGAGAGCAAACATACATGCCTACCTTAACCCAATTAAAATACCATATTATTTAACAAAAGAAATTGTGTTATTTGCAAGCAACACACATACAGAAAGAGCAAGCGGGAGCGAGAGAGAGAATATGACTTTTTGAAAGTGTAAATTAAAAAAAAAATTTGTTGCTTTTTGCCATACGGAAGTGAAATTCTTACAGCTAATATAAAGAGAGTCTGCATTTGTTGAACAAAAAGATTTTTGTGTATAAGCTCAGCTTAAAAAAAAGAAAAAAATTGAGTCTATAGTTAGTGTTATTATTGTGTGAGAGTAAAAGAGAGGCGCTGTGCATGTGTGTCACGTCTTAGCAACAACGTAAATTTCAGTTACGATTACAACATACTAAATTCAAGCAATATTTGCACAGAATCAACTAATAAAGCAACAGCAGGAGAGACGGACTTTCAAAGGCAGCTTCCAGGACGACTACTTCCACAACGAGTGCTTCCCGTCCTTCCCGTCCACGACCGGTCACCTTCCAAGCAAACACAACCCCCTTCCACGATTTCCAAGCTGGCCCAACAAGCAGCGGACAGCAACCTTCCAACAACTGATCCCATTATCCATTATCCGGGAACGATCGAGGGGCTGTCTAATTGCTATCTAATTGGCGGCTAGCTGCGCGCACGTTATGACCAATTCGATTGCGTCAACGAAATGCCTGCCCAATGCACTATCGACCGGCAATTATGGAATGTCCCAGAGCCACCGTTACACCGATGATAGCAAGGAGTACATCATCGTCAAGCTCACCGATTCCGCGTTCCGTGCGATCGAGGAATATCAGCGCGATGACAACGCCAAGCGCCTGCAGCCCGGCCAGCGGGCCAAGATCCAATTTGTGGGCAACACGGGCGTCATCCAGTTCCCGCTACCAGCGTCGGATGCTAATGGCATCCCTAATGCTAATGGCAATGGCAGCGACGCGGCCGGAGGAGGAGTCGGTGGTGGTCGCAAGTTCGGCTTCACTATCAACAATATGGAGGGAACGCTGGAGTGCGTTCAGCAGCAGCAACAGAACCTCGGAGTCCTCGGAGCAGTCGCCTTGCGCATGCGGATCCATGCCAACGACGATGTCTACGATACGACACGCACAAAAATGGCCATTGCCGAGGAGACGGAGAAGAGCAAGTGCATCAGGGAGATTAAGCCGAATCAGTCGGATATCGGGCGTAAGGTGAAGAAGCCGCCATCTGCAGTACAAGCCTCCGCCTCCACCGCCTCCGCCTTCTCCTCCTCCAACTCCAACTCCGGTTTGACGACGACGGCATTTCATCATCACAGCAACAGCAACAGTAACAACAGTGGGAACAACAATAGCAGCAGCAGCAATAGTTTTAATAGCAACAACCATAGTCGTAAGTTAGTTTCATCGCCATTTAATGGCCTAGGCGTAGGATCCAGCAGCTCCTCCAGCGCGTTTGCCTCGCGTTCGCCCAATCCCAGCACACTGGGCGCCAGCGGAACAGTCAATGGCTCTGGCTCTGGCGGGGGTGGTGGTCGCTATGGTGGTGGAGCCGCCTCCTCGCTAGCTTCCACATTCGCCAATGGCATCTCGCAGGGCTACAACAACCTGAGTGGCAGCTCGCCAAGGGATGCCATGCCAGCAGCAGCAGCATCATCAGCATCAGCATCAGGTGCGCTTGCATCATCAGCCATCTCCTCACGCAACAAGATGCCAAGCGGAGGCCTCACCTCCTCCAACTCCTCCTCGTCCTCCAGGAGTGCCAATAACAAGTCGTCGGGTGTGTCTAGGCGCAATATTCGCGAACGCCTCATCCATCTACTGGCCCTTAAAGCTTTCAAGAAACCGGAGCTCTTTGCACGGCTAAAGAACGAGGGCATACGGGATCGGGAACGCAACCAGATCACCAACATACTCTTGGACATCAGCACCATGTCGCACAACACGTACAATCTGCGGCGCCAGATGTGGAACGATGTGGACGAGAACTGGCCCTTCTTTAGCGAGCAGGAAGCGCAGCAGCTGAAGCGTCGCAAGCCGCAGAACCTGACGCCGCCGATGAGCTCAGATGCGGGCAGCTCGACCTCCGGCCAGAGTCCAACATCGACGCACACAGGCAGTCCGCCGCCACCGTCGGGTAATGGCGGACCAGGAGGGGCCGGCGGAGGTGGAGCGGGCGGCGGCAGCCTGAAGCGGACCAGCCTCGAGTACGACGAGACTATGTTCAGCACTGTTCAGCCCAAGAAGCAGCGCATCAGTCACTACAAGAAGGACACTCCGCCCTCGGGAACGTCGTACTCCTCCCCCGCGGTGACAATGTCTCTAGGCTCCTCCGCCTCCAGTCGTAATCGGTATACGCCGCCGCAACGCCAGCCGGGTCCGCTGGACGATCACAGCACCAGTGATCTCAGCTATAATGTGCTGGACAACATGGAGGAGTTTATGAGCTCAACGGCAGCAGCCACGCAGCAATCGATGGAGCAGCAGCAACAGCAACAGCAACTGCTTCAGCAGCAGCAACAGCTTCAACAGCAGCAACAGCTACAGCAGCAGCAACAGCTACAGCAGCAGCAACAGCAGCAGCAAAAGCCACGGAGCAGTAGCAGCAGTAGCAGTAGTAGACGAGGCAGCTCCTCGATGGCTGGCACCAGCAATGGTGGTAACAACAAGGATAAACGGAACTCCACGGGCAGCAATTCCAGTAGCTCCAGTGGTTACGAAACGCAGCAGGATCGCCAGCGTACAACGGGGGCGATGTCATCGAACCGCAGCAGCAGTAGCAGTAAATCCTCATCCGCCTCCGCTTCCGCCTCCTCTTCGACGACGCCGCCCAAGCTGGCGGCCAGTTTTGTGCCCGCTGCCGCCCCTGCATCCACTTCCGGTTCCAACAAGCAGCGTAAGCCGCCCCAGCAGAGCGACAACACGTACAATAGCAATAACACGCAACATGCGGCCTCCAATAGCAAGAAAAGGACGAGTAGTAGTGGTCCCAGTGGTGGAGCGAATGGCCAGCGGCAAAGGAGTTCCAGTGCCTCAAAGTCTGGCTATCAGCAGGTGCCGCCACCCGCATCCTCATCCTCTTCCTCAGCCTCCTCCAACTCGCGATCGTCTCTCCAGCAGCAGCAGCATCAACAAAAGCAGCAGCAACATCAGCCGCAGCAACAGCAACCGCATCAGGCGCAGCAGCAACAGAATCATTACCATCAGCAGGCCAAGCATCCGTCTCCAACGCAACAGTTGGCGGCAGCCGCCCATGCCTATGCCCATGCGACCGCAGATGCAGACTCATCCTCCATGCCCCGTTACGACTTCAGCAAATACGTGCCCATCCAAACGCTGGAGGTGCGGCGGCGCTATAAGACTGAATTCGAGAGCGACTACGATGAGTACCGCAAGCTGTTGACGCGCGTGGAGGACGTGCGCAATCGTTTCCAGGATTTGTCCGAGCGTCTGGAGAGCGCCAGGCGCTGCGACAACGGATACGGGGACTATGATCACATCAAGCGGCAGATTGTGTGCGAGTACGAGCGGATCAATAACGATCGCACTATTGGAGAGGACAAGCAGCGCTTTGATTACCTGCACGCCAAGCTGGCGCACATCAAGCAGCTGGTGATGGACTATGACAAGACTTTGATGAGTGCCACGACGGCGGTGACGGCCACGGAAGTGGTGGCGCCTCCAGCTCCGGATCCAGCGGTGGCGGAAGCTGCCGCTAGGCTGGCCGAGCAGCAGAGGCGGCAGCACCATGCTGTGGAAACGATAGAACAGAAGCAGCAAAAGCAACGCCACCATCCCCAGCAGCAGCAGCAACATCAGCAGCAGCGGCAACATCAGCAGCATAACCCACAGCAGCAACATCATTTGCAGCAGCAACATCATATACAGCAGCAACAGCAACTACATGCACAGGAGCAACATCAGCAACCGCATGCACAGGAGCAACATCAGCAGAATGGGAGCGATTCGGATGACAGTTCGGACAGCTCGGACTCCAACGATGATGACGACGAGGACTGCGATGATTCCAACTCAAACTCCAATACCGATGACGATGAGGCTCGCTATTGATCCTGTTGGGACTACTTCGATGACCATCCGCTGAACCCCCATGTAAAAAGGCAAAACAAGCAAGAAACTATTATAAATACTACAAACTATTATAGTAAAAACGGAAAAAAACAACAAACAAATCAACAAAACCGACAAAAACACCAACAAAAACGTTCTAAAAGAAAATTGTACTACAAGCAAAAAAAAACCTTCAAAAAAATGTTGAAATTATGTTAACAAAAACTAAACAAAAAATACAAACTTTCGCGTAAAATAATTTTTATTACATTAAAAACGAGGGTAGGCGGCAGGCAAGTTCTGCTGCCACCGATTTCTACACATATATAAATATACATATATGAACTATATACATAACAACAAGCCAGAAGAAGACGAGATGAGGAGGAAACAAAATCAATATTTTTAAAAACAACGGCGAAAGCAAAAAAAAATTATATACGAGTTGTAGACTTAATTTTTTGTTGAGCATATTGAGCAGCTTAAATAAGCGCAGGCATAAGTAACTAAATGAAAACGAAAACATGTTTTTCCTTGCGTTTTGTGTGTAATAATTATTATTATTATTATATTATTATTATCAACTTTTAAATATAGCGTGTATGTTTTTCGTTTTTAAATCTAGACTCTTCTTATTTTTATTCTTGATTTTTGTTTAACATTTGTTACAAACGGCAAACACTCACACCTCACACAAGAAAAAATCCACAAAAATATCACACACACAGTACACTCATCGACAAATTTTTTGCATTTTTGGGCATAGCTTTTGTTTTAGATTTGTGTATAGAAAGAGAGAGATTGAGAGAGATATAGCGAGCGAGTAGGCCAGCACAAAGTGTCCTCGCTGCTGTCGACTGCACGTGCCCAAATCCGGGATCCAGGTTATAGTGGGATTTGGGTTTGGGGTCGGGATCCGGATCCGGATTGGGATTGGGTGCGAGTAGAGTTAACTGATATTGAGCCAATGTTTGCCTAGGCCTACGATGACCACAACTGAATACCGTAACCGACAAACAGACAGACACACTGAGAGAAAAAGAGAGCACCACAGAAACGATCTTAAAAATCAATTGCATATTGTTGGGGAAGTTGGTAATTCAAAGTCTTTTTAAATATTCTCTTTTGGCCAGAACTGGTTTTTTTTAAGCCTATGTTTGCCAGAAACTTTGAGTTTGTAAATGTAATGCAAAGAAAAGTCCATATAAATTTATTGAGAAACAAAATTTTATCGTAATAATCTGAGGCCAATTCAATGCATTTCAATTCAGATTTAATCTCTAAGAATAATTTAAGCTGTTCGTAAACGGTGAAGTGACTGCATGAGCCATTTTCATGGATTTAAATTTTGATCGTTCAGTCGCTTCATCGTTTACAACCAGCTCAATACCTCTTTGGTCTTATCAACCCCCATTAAATATGCGCTTTTATGTGTGTAAATTATATTTCCCTTTGGTGGTGTTGCATGCGGGCGTGCCTCTAAACAATAGACTGAACTTTTAAACGGCTTGTGTAGAAAAAAATTCTTCTGTTTTATGGATAACTAGTTAATTTGTTATATATTTTTGTGTTTTAATTATACACAGGTTTTTGTTTGGCGTACGTAGCGTTTATAGTTTTCTTAGCCAACTCCAGCAGTACCATTACCGTACCGTACCTTTCCAATCTGTAAACTGTGTCGAAAACTAAACAAATAGAGACATTTTCAGAACTGACCGAAGACAGAGACTTTATTTATATTATTTGCGGCTTTGGACTAGTTATTGCTCAAAACTATGAGAGGACTAATAGAAATGATATACTTAATGGTTGTATCACAGCTATGGCGGCCCCTTAAGTTGTTTGCTTTTAGTTTTAGGACAACTCTAAGCATGTTACGAAAGCTTCCTTAAGTAAAATAATAATAATAACAAACTTAACAAAATACAAGCTAAAGTGGGAGGAGAGATGATAAAGTCGCTTAAAAATTATCAAATTATTTGCTGAAACTCTAGTGTCCAAAATGAAGATAGGGAGACGAAACGAAACAAAAGCAAAACAAAGAAGGTTAAAAACTAACACGAAATTGAAGAAACCATGAAATTTTAGCTATTTCGTTGCAATATTTTTTATATATGATATTTAAGTAGTAGGGGAGGAAACAAACGAATGGGAAAATCAAATGAAACATTGAGATCAAGTTGCAAAAAATCAAGCGTTTAAAATCGATTCGTAGCAATTACAACAAAAACAAAATCATATATACAATTTATATACAACAACAAAAAAAACCACTAAATATATACACAATATATATATATATATACATATATCTATATATATGTACAACATTGACATTTGATAAGCAACAAAAGAAACTTACTAGTTTTATATAAATGCCACGCCCTCATACATAAATAAACCACATATGACACGCCCACAAAAAACACACAACAAACACAGACACACATGAACTAACACAGCAATTGAAAAGGAACTTATTAACGATTAATGATTGTGTAAGCCGAGAAAAAAAGAAGAGTAAACCAGATCAAGAGACATGAGAAAATATTATTATTATTATTGTACATCTAAGAGCAAAACCGCTGACAAGACCAGCAGAATGAAAAATCTTACAAAAAAAGAGATATTGTTATATACTAGTAATTATTAAGTCCACAAACAACAAAAGAAGAAAGAAAAAACTTGACAAAAAAAGCAAAAAATAGAATCAAATAAAATATTGAATCGAAAAAACTTGGCATTGGTTTTATTTTATTTTTGTTTTTCGTAACTATGCCCTTTTTCACCGCCGATCGCAGCTCTTTGAACATGACTCACGGTAAATCGAAATCTCCCACTGTAGGATATATCTAATCATAATTCCCAATTTTGATCCCCTATTTAGAAGAAGAAGAGGCCCAGGAGGACAACGCACCCGTGGCGGAGCTGTCCAACGATTCCGATGCGCCTCTAAAACCGAATGTGAGTAGTTTCCAGCTAGTACAGGTATCTGAAATAATAATAATCTGAAATCCTGAAAGAATGACGAGGATGACGACTACGATCCCGAGGATAATCGCAAGAAGAAGAAGGGCAAGAAGAGGAAGACCAGGAAGGGCGAGGAGAAGGGTCGCAAGAAGAAGAAGCGCAAGAAGAACGAGAGCGAGGAGGACAGCGACTTCGTCCAGCACGACGAGGAGGTGGAGTACCCCAGCACCTCGAAGCGCGGCAGGAAACGCAAGGAGGAGAAGCAGGCAGCCAAGGAGAAGGAGTCGGCATCATCTGGTAAGAAATTTTCATCTAGCATTTAAAATTTTTACATTTGGCTCACTAGTTAAAAACATTTTTTTTCCAAATTTGTTATTTTAAAAAAGTTAAGAACTCAGAAATCTGCAATCAAAATTTGCACCCTTTGAAAAAATTATATAATCGTACATTTTGATATATGTAATTATGCAAATTTTGACTTTTCGCCGTAAATATATAATTCAGTAGTCCGATCCAAGTGGAACAGTTAGTGAACAGAGAGTGAAATCTAATGCTGATTAAGAAAATTTAACTTATAGAAAAAATATAACCATAAGAAAAAATAAAATATTAAATAAATACGATTTTTATCTATGGATATATAATTATTTATGATATTTTAAAGAGTTGAGATGAGTCATGGCGACGAATAATAAACTGGATGTTCATACTGTATTTTTATTTTCTTTAGGTATGCCCTCCGTGGAAGACGTGTGCTCGGCATTCAGCGTGTGCGATGTGGAGATCGAGTACAGCGAGGAGGATCTGCAGTGCCTGACCACCTACAAGGCGTTCATGCAGCACGTCCGGCCCATTCTGCAGAAGGAAAATCCCAAGATAGCGGCACCTAAGCTGATGATGCTTGTGGCGGCCAAGTGGCGTGAGTTCTGCGAGAGCAATCCGCACATCCAGCAGGAGGGCGGGGCCGCCGGCTCCGGAACTTCCGCTGGACAGGCGCGCAGTGTGGCCGGCGATGAGCCGGAGGAACCGCGATCCTCGCGCTCTTCGCGCAACGAGAAACCGGATGACATTTACGAGGAGGCCGTCGAGGAGGAGGAAGAAGAGGAGGAGGAGGAGAAGAAGCCGCGACGCAAGCGCAGTGGGCGTGGCAAGAAGGGACGTCGCCCCTCGGGCAAGGTGCCCACCCTAAAGATCAAGCTGCTGGGCAAGCGCAAGCGGGACAGCTCGGACGAGGAGCAAGAGGCCAGCGGTGCATCCGAACGCGATTCGGATCTAGAGTTTGAACGCATGCTCCAGAAATCGGATGACAGTGCCGATGAGAAGGAGGCTCCTGCCTCAGCCAAGGCGGACAACACAGCTCCCGCTGCCCAGGACGAAGGATCCGGGGCACCGGTGGTGCGAAAGAAGGCCAAGACCAAGATTGGCAACAAGTTCAAGAAGAAGAACAAACTCAAGAAGACCAAGAACTTCCCGGAGGGTGAGGATGGCGAGCATGAGCACCAGGACTACTGCGAGGTGTGCCAGCAAGGGGGCGAGATTATCCTGTGTGACACCTGCCCGCGGGCATATCATTTGGTGTGCCTCGAGCCCGAGCTGGATGAACCACCAGAGGGCAAGTGGTCGTGCCCGCACTGCGAGGCGGATGGAGGTGCCGCCGAGGAAGAGGACGATGATGAGCACCAGGAATTCTGCCGCGTGTGCAAGGATGGCGGCGAGCTGCTTTGCTGCGACTCCTGTCCATCTGCCTACCACACGTTCTGCTTGAATCCGCCACTGGACACTATACCCGATGGCGACTGGCGCTGTCCGCGCTGCAGTTGCCCTCCGCTCACCGGCAAGGCCGAGAAGATCATCACCTGGCGATGGGCCGTCCCTGGCAGCGACGATGGACCCTCCACCTCGAAGGGATCGAAGAGCAGCAACGCTCGGGTGCGCGAGTACTTCATCAAGTGGCACAACATGTCATACTGGCACTGCGAGTGGGTGCCGGAGGTCCAGCTGGACGTCCACCATCCCCTGATGATCCGCTCGTTCCAGCGCAAGTACGACATGGAGGAGCCGCCCAAGTTCGAGGAGTCGCTGGATGAGGCGGACACCCGTTTCAAGCGTATTCAGCGGCACAAGGATAAGGTGGGCATGAAGGCCGACGACGACACCGAACTGCTGGAGGAGAAATTCTACAAGAACGGCGTCAAGCCGGAGTGGCTCATTGTCCAGCGCGTGATCAACCATCGAACGGCCCGAGATGGCAGCACCATGTATCTGGTGAAGTGGCGCGAGTTGCCCTACGACAAGTCCACCTGGGAGGAGGAGGGCGATGACATCCAGGGCCTACGGCAAGCCATTGACTACTACCAGGATCTGCGTGCGGTTTGCACCTCAGAGACCACGCAATCCCGCAGCAAGAAGAGCAAGAAGGGGCGCAAGTCAAAGCTCAAGGTCGAGGATGACGAGGATCGACCGGTCAAGCACTACACACCGCCGCCGGAAAAACCCACCACGGATCTGAAGAAGAAGTACGAGGATCAGCCTGCGTTCCTGGAGGGCACTGGCATGCAGTTGCATCCCTACCAGATCGAGGGCATCAACTGGCTGCGCTACAGCTGGGGCCAGGGCATCGACACCATCCTGGCCGATGAGATGGGTCTGGGCAAAACTATTCAGACGGTCACGTTTTTGTACTCCCTCTACAAGGAAGGCCACTGCCGCGGCCCCTTCCTCGTGGCCGTGCCACTCTCCACGCTCGTTAATTGGGAGCGTGAGTTCGAGCTGTGGGCTCCGGACTTTTACTGCATCACTTATATCGGCGACAAGGACTCGAGGGCGGTTATACGGGAGAACGAGTTGAGCTTCGAGGAGGGCGCCATTCGTGGCAGCAAGGTCTCGCGATTGCGGACTACCCAGTACAAGTTCAATGTGCTGCTCACTAGCTACGAGCTGATCTCCATGGACGCCGCCTGTCTAGGCAGCATTGATTGGGCAGTGCTGGTGGTGGACGAGGCCCATCGGCTGAAGAGCAACCAGAGCAAGTTCTTCCGGATCCTGAACAGCTACGCCATTGCCTACAAGCTGCTGCTTACCGGCACACCGCTGCAGAACAACCTCGAGGAGCTGTTCCATCTGCTTAACTTCCTGAGCCGCGACAAGTTCAATGATCTGCAGGCGTTCCAGGGCGAATTCGCTGACGTTTCGAAGGAGGAGCAGGTTAAACGACTGCACGAGATGCTTGGACCGCACATGCTGCGTCGTTTGAAGACGGATGTGCTGAAGAACATGCCCTCCAAGTCGGAGTTCATTGTGCGCGTCGAGCTGTCGGCCATGCAAAAAAAGTTCTACAAGTTTATCCTGACTAAGAACTACGAGGCTTTGAATTCGAAGAGCGGCGGCGGGTCCTGTTCTCTGATTAACATCATGATGGACCTGAAGAAGTGCTGCAATCATCCGTATCTCTTCCCCTCGGCCGCCGAGGAGGCTACCACCGCTGCCGGCGGTCTCTACGAGATCAATTCGCTGACCAAGGCTGCTGGCAAGTTGGTGCTGCTCTCCAAAATGCTGAAGCAACTCAAGTCGCAGAACCATCGTGTGCTGATCTTCTCGCAGATGACCAAGATGTTGGACATCCTCGAGGACTTCCTAGAGGGCGAGCAGTACAAGTACGAGCGTATTGACGGAGGGATCACGGGAACGTTGCGTCAGGAGGCCATTGACAGATTCAATGCCCCCGGAGCGCAGCAGTTTGTCTTTTTACTGAGTACTCGCGCAGGAGGATTGGGTATCAATTTGGCCACGGCCGATACTGTCATCATCTACGATTCGGATTGGAATCCCCACAACGATATTCAAGCCTTCTCCCGAGCCCATCGTATCGGGCAGGCCAACAAGGTCATGATCTATCGGTTTGTGACCCGCAATTCGGTGGAGGAGCGTGTAACGCAGGTGGCCAAGCGGAAGATGATGCTGACTCATCTTGTGGTGCGTCCGGGAATGGGCGGCAAGGGTGCCAACTTCACGAAACAAGAGCTGGATGATATCCTGCGGTTCGGCACTGAGGATTTGTTTAAGGAGGACGACAAGGAGGAGGCTATCCACTACGACGACAAGGCAGTGGCCGAGCTGCTGGACCGCACCAATCGCGGTATCGAGGAGAAGGAGTCCTGGGCCAACGAGTATCTGTCCTCGTTCAAGGTGGCTTCGTATGCCACCAAGGAAGAGGAGGAGGAGGAGGAGACGGAGATCATCAAGCAGGATGCCGAGAACTCTGATCCGGCGTACTGGGTGAAGCTGCTGCGCCACCACTACGAGCAGCACCAGGAGGATGTGGGTCGCAGCCTGGGCAAAGGCAAGCGTGTACGCAAGCAGGTCAACTACACGGATGGCGGCGTTGTGGCTGCGGACACCACGCGGGATGATTCCAACTGGCAGGACAATGGCAGCGAATATAACTCGGAGTACTCAGCTGGCTCCGATGAAGATGGCGCCGACGATGACTTCGATGAACAGAATGGTGGTGAGCGGAAGGCGAAGCGGCGATTGGAGCGTCGCGACGATCGCCCCTTGCCCCCACTGTTGGCCCGCGTTGGTGGGAACATCGAGGTTCTTGGTTTCAATGCCCGTCAACGTAAGAGCTTCCTCAACGCCATCATGCGGTACGGAATGCCTCCGCAGGATGCCTTCAATTCGCAGTGGTTGGTCCGGGACTTGCGTGGTAAATCCGAGCGCAACTTCAAGGCGTACGTCTCGCTGTTCATGCGGCATCTCTGTGAACCAGGAGCAGACAACGCGGAGACCTTTGCCGATGGAGTGCCGCGCGAGGGACTTTCCCGCCAGCATGTGCTCACCAGAATCGGTGTGATGTCGCTTATTCGCAAGAAGGTACAGGAATTCGAGCACATCAATGGGTACTACAGCATGCCGGAGCTAATCCTCAAGCCTTGCGAACCGGTGCGATCAGCGCTCAAACAGGATGTGGCGGCCCTGGAGGCTCCGCCTGCTGGTGGCAATGTGGACAAGAGCGCTACCACGAGCAACAGCGCCACTCCAGCCACCAGTGCAGCACCCAGTCCGGCGCCAGCATCGGAGAAGGGCGAGGACAAGGACAAGGATTCCGAGAAGGAAAAGGATAAGGCCTCGGCTGAGAAGAGCGAGGTGAAGCAAGAACAAGAGGCTGAAGAGGAAAAGAAGCCCGGGGATGTCAAGCAGGAGAACCCGGCTGAGGAAACATCCGGCGACACTAAGCCCAGCGAGGTGGCCGAGGTTAAGTCCGAGCTGGCCAAGACAGAGCCCAAGGAAGAGGCCAAGGATGCGGACATCAAAGAGGAGTCCAAGGTCGAAGAGAAGGAAAAGGAGAAGCTCGAGGAGAAGAAGCCAATACCAGCGACAGTGATCGACGACGACGATGACGATGTGATGATCGTTAAGGAGGACGGTGAGCTTGAGAAGCCTAGTGCCAGTTCACCAAAGGATCACAAGGCGGCCGCTGCTGCCGCCGCTGCTGCTGCCGCTGCCACTGGAGCCACCGGCAAGGGAGTGGAGGACAGTCTGGAGGTGCTAAAGCGCAAATTCATGTTCAATATCGCCGACGGCGGGTTCACCGAGCTGCACACTTTATGGCTCAACGAGGAAAAGGCTGCTGTGCCCGGCAGAGAGTACGAGATCTGGCACCGTCGCCACGACTACTGGCTGTTGGCCGGAATAGTGACCCACGGCTATGGACGCTGGCAAGACATCCAGAATGATATTCGCTTTGCGATCATCAACGAACCCTTCAAGATGGACGTCGGCAAGGGCAACTTCCTGGAGATCAAGAACAAGTTCCTGGCCCGGCGCTTCAAGCTGCTGGAACAGGCGCTGGTTATCGAGGAGCAGCTGCGGCGGGCGGCCTACCTGAATCTCGCCCAGGACCCCAGCCATCCAGCCATGTCGCTGAACGCCCGTTTCGCTGAGGTCGAGTGCCTGGCCGAATCCCATCAGCATCTCAGCAAGGAATCGCTGGCGGGCAACAAGCCCGCGAACGCGGTGCTGCACAAGGTGCTTAACCAGCTGGAGGAGCTGCTCTCGGACATGAAGAGCGATGTGTCCCGGCTGCCAGCCACATTGGCCCGCATCCCACCGGTTGCCCAGCGGCTCCAGATGTCCGAGCGATCGATTCTTTCCCGCCTAGCGGCCACCGCCGGAAATGCCTCGAATGCTGGTGAGTGTCTCATTATTTTTAGTCTGACTTCGTAGAAAAAAAATAATATAAAGAGAGTAAAAGTTAAACTCTGAAGGAAGTGTTTTAAAATGTAATGATTGTTCTAAAAAAACTTTATATTAAACTTTGTTCTTTTATTTTAGCTCAATTAATGGCACAATTTCCGGCTGGATTCCAGGGCACAACATTGCCAGCATTCACCAGCGGACCCGCCGGCAACTTTGCCAACTTCAGGCCACAGTTTTCGGTGCCCGGCCAGCTTTCGAATAATTCCGGCGTCTAGGCATCTCCTCAATATATATTTTAAGAGCATTCGTATTCCATGCAAATATACTTTACTCAAGCTAAGAATTTAAATTTCTACACAAGAAAACCCCCGCACACCTACAACCTATATTTATCATAATCATTTGCAATGAAACCCCGATAATAAAAACGAAAAGGACCTATGTCGCGTTCACACAAATAATTAATACACAAGGTTTGACACTTGGCGGATGGCGAGCTCGGTTTTAAGCTTCGGATTCTGCTCCTGGGGCGGATCTCAGCAGAACACGGCTCGCAGCCAATAAACATACGACAAGTATAATAGTTCTTATTTACTTCTTTACTACGTGATTACATAATCTAGATACAAAATATAAATGTATTGAATTCCATTGCAAGAAAACGAGTGTTGTTTATTTGGGGGGGGATTGCAGCCTTGAAAAAGTTTTAAATTATATTTAGTCGAACTTTTCGATTTAAAAATAAACGTTTTGATTTAAAAGATTTCTCATTAGTTTTGACTTTTTCTCTTAGACCCAAAATATCACCTGTTTTCCTTGGTCAAAAACAAACATTTAGTACAAATGCGATGTGGTTTAAGCGATAAAAGTTGTTTTATTCATAGCTTTTCGTTTCGAATATATCATCATGTTCATGTATATTAATATAAATTAGTTAAGTTTTGTATGTATATATATCTGTGGGTGTATATATATAATTTGTAAATATCAAATACACAATCAATAGACATATTTAAGTCATATCTAATAAGCGCAATACTAATTTCGAACCGAATCTGTTCGGCACGTCACACAAAGCCAATCAATACACGTAAATACGGGATGAGTAGACCAACAATAGTCCGCGAGTTCTTGGGATGAAATTCGTAACATCTTAATATTGCTGATCATAATTAATATCAAACTGCCTAAAACTTTTCGACTTTCGGGTTTCACTTCCGCTTGTTATTTACAGCAATAATTACAAATTAAATGGAATATCCCGACATGGTCTGGCATAAATAATTACAAGCTGGCACTGCTGGCCTAATACAAATACAAATTTAAAAATTATATACAACAAAACAAACAAAGCAACAAGAAAAAATTGAGAATAGATTTGTTCGGCGTAACAAACCAATTTAACGTATTATTTACAAGCTAAACTTGAATTTTGTATATTACATGCAAAAACAATTTTCGGCAAAGAAAAATAGAAGTAGGCTTAAAACTAATTATGGGCTATGCAACTATTGCAGAAAATCAGAATCAGCTTAGAATAGTAAATAACAAAACATACGCGGTGTGAAACAAAACACAGAGTCTCTAGAACAGAAAGGGTAAGAATGGATTATATAATCTTCATAGCCATGATGCCCACGGTACCAGGAAGTGGACATCAGTTAGGAAATTGAGCACAGCTTCTTCAGCTCTCCCTCGGTCTCGTCCACCTCAAGTGGTACGCTGGAGGCGTTGGGCAGCGCCCGTCCCTCGATGTTCGGAAGATACGGCTCGTAGTCTAGGCCCTTGCGCTCGTAGAACAACAGATATGCGGCACTCGGGTCGATGACCGGCTTCTGTGATATCTCGCGGCAGGAGCTGTCGTTGTAGCAGTACCAGGAACCAGTTGCATTCGATGCATAGGAAATGTAATGGCCTCCATTCAGCATGCCCGAGTGTGACTGCATGAAAAATCCATAAATCTCCGAAAAAAAATAAGTATGGGCTATACTCACGACCACAGCATAGAGTCGGTATCTGGGATCGAACTCATCCACCTCTGGCTTGAGTCGGTGCTGGTGATAGTCCTCGAACTCGCCGTCCACAATGGGCGTTTTGGTGAGACTCGTCGAGATGAGACGTTGTCGCCGGGCAGCATTGATGTTCTTGCTCTGGCGGAGGATATTCGCGGTGGACGCTGTAGAACCGGTGGCCGGAGTTGTCCCAGCCTGTGTTGAAAGGTCCTCCTTGTCCTTGTCGTCCTCGTCTATTTCGCTAACCACTTCATTGCTTGCCATCGGCAAATCGGAATCCTTCTTCAGCTCCAGCAGCTCCTTGTGCCGCAGTATCGTCTCCTGGGGCACTGAGGCCAGGTACGGTGTGGGATCAAAGTCATCGAAGGGGAAGTGAACCACTTTCTGTGACTTGACCCACTTGCCGTTTACGCAGTTAAACCGCTTCAAGTGCACAATCTAAACGAAAGTAAAAGTCATTGCCATTGCCCCAGCATTCGGTGAGGAGTTTCAGCTCACCAATATCGGAGGCAGTTTCCAGATCTGCAATTTCTTGGTGGCGGGTTTCTTGCCCTTGCAATGACTGCAGTGATACCACTGCTCCAGTTTTTCCTCGGAGGTGAAGGCGCGCAGGCAATGATTGAGGTCCACGGGCTCTACTTGCTCCCGCCGACTTATGGCAATGGTCTCATGATCCACCCATAGCTAAGTAAAGACAAATATCAGTTACTGCGAAGATACATTTAAGTCGATTCTACATACACGCTCCAAGGTGCTTTGGTAGCGCAAATGCAAGGCGGTCGGATCCCAGTCGATGGCAATGGTAAAGTCTTCAAAATATTTCGTTGTCGGTGCGTATGACAACGAGGCGGTGTACTCTGGCGTCCGTTTAGCCTCCAGATTTGGTAGCGATGGGAATTTAGTGTTCATTTTTGGCGTTGATGTATTACCTGTAGGGGAAATATGAACTTATTGTAATATGTTTTTAATTCTAGTAAATTTGTATCTTTAATGGCACAGTGTAACTGCAGTTTTGACTTATAGATATGGATAAATAACTAAAATTTGATTTATAACAGCCATATCTCTTCACCCAATTTCTTTCAGTTATAAACCAAAATGTACCAAATTAAATTTTAAAACAATATTTTTCATTTAAATTAAAAAAAAACTAATTAAATGGTACATATGTACATCAAATATTATATAGCATTTTCCCGAAATTTTTAACTGGTCAATTAAAGCGAAATTTGACTCCCAATCTAGGACAAAATTGCAGTTGCATTCCGAAATCCTTAAAAAAGTGGCACAGTGTAATTTAAATTGTTGAAGAAAATTATTGTTTTAAAATCAGTGTGTTTAAAAACATTTAAAAGAATCCAAAACTGCCGCATGGTGTTCCACAAAACCAGCTTTTTGTAGAATGGATTCTTTTCTACTCACTGGCCACGGCATTGATGGGCGGCAGGGCTCCCTGGAGTACATAGTCGTTGTTGCAGCGGATCTCGCAGCCTCGACAGAAGCTTGACCAGGGGCAGATGGCGCAGGTTAGTCCGTCTGCCTTAACAGCACGCAACGTGAAGGGAAAGTCGTAGCCGAGGCTGTCATCACTAAGGTAAAATAACAGACAGTCGGTTTAGGTATTTCAAAAGAGACCGGGTATATTTACCAATCGGCGGCATGATTCGCCTGCTCCGTGGTGGCGGGCAGAGGGCTGAGCAACCTGCTCACCTGGAGCCACACGGCGCAGTACAGATCTTTGTGGGTGCCGCCCTCGCTGTTGGGGATGAGCAGGGGGACCCCAAACAGGCTGGGCCGCGTCTTGTGGTAGGAGAGGAAGTAGCTGTCGTGCCGCGTTATCTTCCGGTGCACGGCCACCAGATACTTGCCCGCCTTGTGCGTCGGCTGTGAGGAGCGACGCGAGTATACGCCACTACTGGTTTCCGGCTGCGAGGTGGTGATCTGGTCGGGCTGGTCGTGCTCCTCCTCGTTGCCCTCCTCCGCCTGTTCGTCCACATCCAAGCTGGCGCCCAAAGTGTGCCCAGTGCTCAGGCCACTGGATTCGTTCGGGGACGTCCGGAAGGAGCTGTCATCGCTGCCGCTTCCATGGCGACTACTCACCGGCGCCAGATCCGCCATCGGAATGGGTTCCGTCAGCGAGCTCTCCATGGAGTTCTCGCCCGAGTGATTCGTATACGACATGGAACTGGTGTTGCTCTCCGTGTGGAGCAACTTGGCGGAGGACACACGCTTCTGCTGGGCGGCCGCGCCGTGCATGAAAGTGTTCTCCGGGCTGGAGCTCAGGATGAGCGACTCCTGCACCAAGAGTTGATATTAGACTTGGTTGTGGTGGGTTTGGAGTTAATGTTTCAGGGGCGTTTTGGGTAAAATCGTGAATTAAAGCTTTGGGAACTCAATTAACCAAGGATCCAATTACTCGTAAATGTACAAAATGTCTATAGGGTATACACTAAAATTCAAAATCTACTTATACATTTACAAATTGTTTATGGCAGGTGTTTAAATTAAGTTTTGGTTTATTCTAGTTATTCCGTGAGGTCGGTGGCAAGTGAAACTGAAGTTATCAAATTATAATGATTTAGTTTTTGTACAGGTTTCGAAAGATGCAAGATTTGTTTAATACTGTTAGTTTAGCTTGGGTTTAACTTTAAAGAATTAGTTTTGACCATAAGTGTGAGTTAATGCACTTATGTAAGAATATACAAAAGTTTTGAAATCTATGCTTCAAAAGATTATATTTGAATATATTAAAATAATATTACTTTGCAGAAATCTTTAAAATTGTTCAAGATTTAACTACAGAAATTTACTAAAAATATTCTATAAAAATCTATCTAAAACTATATCAAAAATTTACTAAGGCAATATAATTATGGATACTCTGAACGTTTTAATAAACAAATCAAAAAATGAAGAGTCTAAAACGTTCTAAATGTAGGCGGTTTTGCAAAGCTATGAGAATGACTAGAAACTACAAAATAAATTATAATTCACAAACTTTCAACTTGATAACCAACGACAACAAAGATTTCCAAGAATAGCAAAGAGGTGATTTGAAATATTTGTTTTGGTTTAAGCAAAAAATGTACATTAGTTTTAGAATAAGGCCAGCAACAAATTAAATGATTAGTAGAAGGAGATATATAGATTACAAATAATTGATATCAATTTGATAACAGTGTGCGAATACGAAAGTAGGGAGAATATACAGAGTATGCTAGTAGTTTTGAGTAGTTAAGAGGGAAGCCCACAAACCACGCAGCAAACGGCAACTGTTCATTTAACATAGTGGTATTTAATATATTTAGATTAAACGCTTGTAAAGTGACACTCGAGAAGCAGACGGAGGCGGAATCTTTAGCGGATTCTGATTTCGCATTCGCAATCGAAGACGACCCGACGATAACATTGCAGCACTTTCGCCACTGAGGAGCAAGCTCGGTATCCTAGGCAAGGGAAGTTCTGAAGCTCTGAATTTAGGAATTTAGGAATTCGATTGGCCCCAAATAACTGGGGCGTAAATCTATGATATTAAATACGTGTATGTTAATATAGTTTAGAAGCCATACCTTGAAGCAAAATAGGCTGTGGGGCATGCACTCTCTCTTTCCAAAGCACCGGCTTACCTTTCCGGCCTCATCTGGCAGCAGTTCGTGCACTTGGTTATCCCCGCTTCCGTTTCCGCTGAAATGGCTAGTGATGGAATTGTAATTATTGCCGCTGCTGTTGTAGCGAGAAACCTCTGCCGGCTCCACCTCCACCTCCGCCTCCACTTCGACCTCGAGTCCAGGGACATGGCCGTTGCAAAGGACTCGGGACGAGGCGCGGTGGCTAGATGTCTGCAGAGTGCTCAGCGAAGACAGCGAGTCCTGTGCGGTGATAAGAGCTGAAAGCAAGGGAACCTGTGAGTACGTATCTTTTTGAAATCCTCTTCAGTGACTTACCGGAACTGCGCTGAATGTCCTTGAGACCCTGCTCGATATGCATGCTGAGGACTGAGTTGGAACGCGTCCGCACACTCTGCTCGGGCAGTTGGAAGACATACAGCTCTTTGGCACTCTGCGTGCGCAACTTATCCTCGTCGGCCAGCACCTGTCGTATTTGTGAGTTCCACAGCTCGCAGACGAGCATCAGATTTGGTTGCAGGGAGCACAGAGTGGCCAACTTGTACTTCAGATGCGAGTACTTGCATTCCGAGTTGAGCCGAAAACCATATTTAATGGGTACGCTTCCATCCAGTAGGATTACTAAAAAAAATAAAAATGTTATGCAAATTTAGAGGGGTTAATTATCAAATTGTTTAGTTGTTTGTTTGCATTGTAATTGTAGAAAGGTGTTAGCAACTTTAAGTAATTAACGATTTACACTTTCGAGATTATAAGCTAAAAAATAAAGTGGTTATTATTTTTAGCTTATAATCATTAAGGGAAACTTAATTTTATACATCAATTGACGCAAAGCTTTTTTTTTTTAGTGCTTATGTTTTTAAATTGCACTACGATTAGATTTCACTATATGTGACTTACCCAAGACCTCCAAATAGACATAGTTCTCCACCGGGAGCGGCAGGCTGAGCAGACTGAAGGGATCGAAGCGGACCGACTCGTGTCCACAGCCCAGACAGCTGACCTTGGACTTCAACTGGCCGTAGAATAGATCGATGATGATGGACTGATTGCGAGCGTGATGCTGAGACCAGGCCTCGGCGGCCACGATCTTGTCGGGGCGTCCATTGGAGTCCTTCAGCTCACTATACGGCTTCTCCATCACGCGGTTCAGATCCTCATGCAGTGCGTCCAGCAGCCACTCGAGCAACTCCTGGGAATCGTGCTGACCTCCACCGGCGAACTGCGGCGCGTGCTTGTTGACGCAAAAGCGTAGTTTAAGAGGCGCCACTGAGCGCGTTGTGGCGGTCCAAACCTCCTTGAGCAATTCTGCGTAACGCATGGCCAGCTGGCCCCGTGTGCCCAGTTTGTTGGCCGCATTCACCTCAAAGCGGTGCATCTCACGCTGGAAATACTGGGCCAGCGGTTGGGTGTTGAACAGCACCTGGAGGGCGGCGTTCATAAAGCAGGTGTTCCCCAGGTTGTGCAGCCCAGTGGCTCCGGGCGCATGTACCGACATAATTGAACTGCGGGTAAGGCGACGGCGATCACCCGGCGCACCCGTACCCTGGCCACTCTGAGCGGTGGCCAAGGATCCAAGTTCCTCCGGCCAGGTCAGATCCTTGTTGCGGATCTCCAGCAGCAGCTGGTCGTTGTCCCGAATGAGCAGCTCTTTCAGACACATGGCGTCCTCCTCTAGCAATATGGCACCGTTGTCCAGCTGCGGAACGTGCCACAGCCGGATGTCCTCCGACTTGAGACGCAGCTGCTCGCAGAGGAACTCGCCCACCTGGCGCACTGTGGCCAGTCGGCTGAAGGCAGCTGTGTAGGCCAAGTATCGCTTGGGCGGTTGAAGCACGCTGCTGGCCGCGATGGCCGCATATCCGCCTCCGGAGGCCAGGACCCCGTAGCCACCGCTCACCGTGGAGCCCCAGCTGCCGAGTTGAGTGCCTCCACCAACGCCGGTCTGGGATGGTTGTGCCTGATGGAGCAGGATCCGCAGGTTCAGCGGATACAGCTCCAGTTCCACTTCAGAGTTGGGTGGTTGGATGACCTGGTGAAAGAATTAATTAAAAATATTAATAGATTAATACAAAATCGATTTTACTTCTCATGAAATTAAAGGTGGGTTCTATAATGAATCTTATTTTTTCTGGCCCTTTCTAAGTAAGCTATTAAGATTCAGAAAATATAAAAACTAAAAAACGAATTTTTAACAATAAAGCTCCAGTGAGAAAAATTACATAAGTAAAAGTCTAATCAAAATTCATAGATTTTTTTAAATTGTTTAGTTAGTTTGTTGGATATTAACAAGTTTACCTGTCGCGGCAGTGGCAGGTTGTCGCCATACCACCGATTTAGGGCCTTCCACAGGGACTTGGGAACGAGTTCAAAGTCGTGGCCGTGCACGAGGGGCGTGTCCCGCTTGAGGTGGCCGCCCTCGCCGGTGAGGGTGCGCACATTGCGGAACGGGTTGGCCGTGATCAGATTGCTGTTGTCGATGGGTCCCGGTCGCACCGGTCCGCAGTGGCGACCGGCGGAGATCCCACTGCTCGCCGACCCGGATCCTGATGCCGAACCAGTGCCAGAGCCCAGGGAGTAGCTGTCGTGCTGCTCCAGGCTGTGGGTATTAAAGCTCTCATCGCATACTAGCGCCTCATCGACAGCTGTTCGCTGGTGGACGGTGCGTTTGCAATAGTCGCAGGTATGGGCCGTGTGCTGGGTGTATTGCATCCAACCGAGCCACCAGTCGCGGGTGATCAGGTACCAGAACTGACCTACGCTGTACGGCCTGCGTTCCTCGCGCCGCAGCCATCCCCGGACTATATCGTTCTCCATGTGCTTGCACTGCGGCCACAGGCCAAAGACGATGTGACAGAGCTCGAAGATCAGGTCCAGCAGGGGCTGCATAAGTCTCAAGTCGCACTGCACGGTCCATAGCATAAAGTCCTCGGCGGTCAGTGAGACATTGTCGCGGGTTAGTTTGCTTGGCGTGCCATCCGGACTTCTACGCTGGCCAAACTCCAACAGATCACTGATCACTAGCTGCTTGGTCAGCTCCTTGTACTGCTGAGCTTCGTGATTCTGTTTGGCCACCAACAGCAGAACATTGATCATTTGGAGCGTCTCCTCGTGGCTAAGAACTCCATCCCGATCCACATCGAAGATCTTAAAGCAAACTGTAGAGAAATAAAGGCAAAAGTTTATGAGTTTATAGTAGGACAAGTAGTAGTAATCAGTGCTCACAGCGCGTTCTCTCCACTCCCGGTCCCCGGCAGGCGGCACTCACTCCGCAACACAGCTCCTTGAAGTCGATGTGTCCGTCACGGTTCTCGTCGAAGGCGTTAAATAGTCCCGCCAACGCGTTCTTTGGTATGGGTGGGCTGATAAGTGGGCCCAGAAACTGCAGGTCGATTTGGCCATTTTGGGAAGTATTCTTCAAGCGCCAAAACTCTTTTTCTAGATCTCCAATGTCCTGCAAATTTTAATTTAATTTTATTTTTAAAATAAATTAGTATGAAATATTAAAGAAAATTATTTTTAATCCTGATAAGTAATGTACAACAAAACAAAAATGTACTTAAATGTTGCAACTTTGATTGTTTACAAGCTGAGTTTATATGGTGTTCAGGAAAAAAAGGTATAATATTTTGAACAAGTTTAAAGCTAAAACTCTGAAGCTGAGCATTTAATCGCATAGGATCATAATACCTTCTGCAAGGTTATAGTAAATAAACTGTGCAGAAAATGCATTTAAATTCAAATATATTTCTTTCACTTGTTAATTACTAAACCAGAATATGAAAGGGGAAAAAAAGACGACTTCAGTGGCGGATTAAAGAACAGATGATACAATACACCTGCCATATTTCAAAATGGAGTTCCCAAGAAACGATTAGCCGTGAAGTGCAGGCCACATTTTTTTAAATTACTAAGTAATATTAGCCGTATATAAATACTCTATCCAGAATCTAACCTTCTCCTCCAAATGAGTAACTCCAGCGAGGCTCTGGTAAAACGTTGGAGTCTCCAGCTCCGAGGTAAGACTGACACAATTGTCGGCCAGCAGCCATTTTGAGAGAACAGTGGCATTGCGATGCTTTATTATCCAGTCCTGGAACTGCTCGAAATTGACGCGTTCGCTCTGAGCAAACAGGGAGACACTCTCGAAGGGAGCCAGATTGACGTTGCGCACATAGTCTGACTTGATAATAAAGGTGCCGGCGTCGTTGCAGTAGAGGTTCCACAAGAATCTGGGAAAGAAAGGTTGTATTTATCAATTGCGGTTATAAATTGCATTGTATGTCATTCTCACTTGGTCTTCTCCCCCTGGGTACCCCTAGTGATCAGGACCAGCCCGCAGAGGAGGTCATTGAAGGAGATGCCGCGCTGAGTGCCACCACAGGCGGCATATAGCATGTCCGTGATCTTCGGCGGCACTCCCTCGCAGAGCACGTCCTGCTGGAAGGCGTTCCGGCTAAGGAAGTTCCGTCCCACGCCCGCCGATTTTTTGAAGGCATCTCTCAGGCGCCGCAGTTCGACATCACTTACTGAAATGATAATCAATGCATGAGTAACGCTTTTGGTAGGGCTTATCCCAAAATGCTTCTAATTAGTAACTTGGGAGCCCCCGTATTTAATAAGATTTACGAGCTCGATTTTCCAACGGACGTGACGTCAATAGTGAACCGATTTTAGAAGCAAAAGTCAGGTAATACAAATATTACAAATACACTCGCTGTAATCGCTTATAACAGCAATAAACTTAATTTATGAAATTATTTATCTATTCAATCACTTATGGGATTACAATTCGCTGTTACCTAATTAACCATTATCTCTAATTGATTTTAAAGCCCTTACTCGCGAAGTAAAAGTGTTGAAGTGCAATAGAAGCTTTTGCAACAAAATAAATGGGTTATATTTTGATGTCCTTTAATGTAAATTTCAAAACTATATATGAGCAAGTAATTATATAGGAGAACTAACTATTGAGTTTCTAAGGTACGCAACAAGTTTTAAAAAAGGTAGTTAAGTGGAGAGTATCCCAAAGTCGATTTTTTTATATTTTCTTTTCCGAATGATTGTGAATCATACACAGAGGAATCACAAGTAATCGTCCATATGTTTATAGGAACGTGTGCGACGATAATTAAAATTCGTAACGCATATATGGAAGTCAACAAACGAAAAAAAAATGAAGAAAGGTCAAAAAATTTGTATATCAAGACAAGATTATTAACCATTAAAAATATCAATCAATATGATCACCAACAAATCTACATCTAAGCCCCAAATATTTAATTTGAATTAACTATTTCTTAAATTTTTTTAAATTATATATTGTTTCAATACTACAGTGTATTGCTGAACAACAAAAATAAATCCATTAAAAAATTAGGTCATAATTAAATCTACAATTTGTATTCATTCCTTGTTGCTTACAATTTATTATATTGACCAATTAATGTGGAAAATAAAAGAGCACAAGAATTGTCATCAAATCGACAATAAATAAACCATTTCAATTTCAGCGATCAGGTTAAGAACAGAGCCAACTGATAAGCGCAAACGGGGCGTGAAAATACATTCCGGAATTAAATGGGCAATATAGCAGTGGGAATTATACGACGTCACAGAAACGGAATTTAATTGAATGTCAACTGCAGCTTGGGTCTGCGATTTGTGACTGGCGTACTTGCATGCCAGCACTTGTTTTCCCCATCTTTTCTTTCATTTCTCCGCTGGCTCGGTTTTATTGGAACCGGTCGGTGAGGCTAATAAGAAACACACGCACCTGGTCGCACGCCTCAAGGTAGGCGAAGGTGGGTGGAAATGGGGTGGTCAGGTGGGCCGGGGCAGGGCCTTATCAGCGACATTCACTCTCTTAACTCTGGCTGCCTGGTCGCAAATCAGGCACCTTAACCATAACAACACCAGTGGGAGATGAATGCCAGCACAAAGGGAGGGTAAAGTAAAGTAAGTCAAAGGCAGTACCAGCGCTAAACGTCATTGAAAATGGGGTGGGTGTTATAGTGTTCCCGCTGGCTGAAATAATCTTAACTTTTGGATGATTAACAATTCATATCGGGGTCTACACTTTGAAGCATTTTATAAAAGGGAAATGGTGAACCTTCAGACTTCGAACTCCATTCAATCGAAAAGTGTTCCCTTTTTATACCCTTGCAGAGGGTATTATAATTTTGGTCAAAAGTGTGCAACGCAGTGAAGGAGACATCTCCGACCCTATAAAGTATATATATTCTTGATCAGGATCACCTCCTGAGTTGATATAGCCATGTCCGTCTGTCCGTCTGTCCGTCTGTCCGTCTGTCCGTCTGTCCGTCTGTCCGTCTGTCCGTCTGTCTGTCCGTCTGTCTGTTTCTACGCGAACTAGTCTCTCAGTTTTAAAGATATCGAATTGAAACTTTGCACACACCCTTCTTTCCTTTGCACGCAGTATATAAGTCGGAACGGCCGGGATCGGCCGACTATATCCTATAGCTGCCATATAACTGATTGATCGGAAATGCCATAACTCTGCTGTTTGTTAGGTTAGGAAGTTGGGACTTTCTATGGGTTCTATATTTGGCCAATCAATCTGACGTACCAAATTTCATAAGGATCGGCCGACTATATCTTATAGCTGCCATATAACTGATTGATCGGAAATGCCATAACTTTGGTGTTTGTAAAGTTAGGAAGTTGGGATTTTCTATGGGTTTTATATTTGGCCAATCAATCTGACGTACCAAATTTCATAAGGATCGGCCAACTATATCTTATAGCTGCCATATAACTGATTGATCGGAAATGCCATAACTTTGGTGTTTGTAAAGTTAGGAAGTTGGAATTTTCTATGGGTTTTATATTTGGCCAATCAATCAGACGTACCAAATTTCATAAGGATCGGCCGACTATATCTTATAGCTGCCATATAACTGATTGATCGGAAATGCCATAACTTTTGGTGTTTGTTAAGTTAGGAAGTTGGGATTTTCTATGGGTTTTATTTTTGCCTAATCAATCCGACATATCAAATTTCATAAGGATCGGCCGACTATATTCTATAACTGCCATATAACTGAACGATTGGAAATGCCATAACTTTGGTGTTTTTAAAGTTAGGAAGTTGGGATTTTTTATGAGTATTAAGAATGCATTATGAATGATTTTGGAGAATATAATTTGCAGAATATTCTGCAAGGGTATTTCAACTTCGGCTCCGCCCGAAGTTAGCTTTCCTTTCTTGTTAAATATTATTATAGAATTTTCAAATAATTAATTATAAGAAAAAAAATGTATTTACATTAAAACTTTTTTAAAGAAAATTATAGCACTTTAATCTAAGATTTTAAATAGAATGCAAGGAAATTTTAATTGGAATGTTTATATTTAATTTTATATTTAAGTCTAATATTTTTGTAATATTGAGAAATATTAAAATTCTCTTCAGAAAAATTGTGTTGCCTTCGACGTTATTGTTTGATTAAATTTTCTTTGCTGTTATTGGAGACCGACTATAGTGAGCCGAATCGGGTGCTTTTAAAAGCCAAAATATTTATTTTCCTATCTGGGAAATGCACCTCAGAGTGATTTCAACAATACTACTCACTATGCCTAAGCATATAAATAAGAACTAAATCAACGGATAATAGAATTAAAGTACTAACAAACCACACCCGCAAGTTTGATAATTTAATTGTATTAACGAACATGTGTTTATGTTACAAAGCATTTTTGTTTTCTTTTAAATACCTTTGTAGAATGCCTTTGCATATAAAATGCGAATTGAAATGAACACTGGAATTAAATGTTGAACTTGAAATGAGCAGCATCCGCAGCGACATCCGCATCCGCGCATTCCAGTCACAGTAAGCGTGAACTGCACTGGCTCGCTTTTTAACTGTTATTCTGTGCGTCGGTGCTTTGTTGTCTCCCAACCACCCAGCGCCCACCTCTCACTTCCACCTACCAACCACCCCTTCGGTTGAGCTTTTCTATTGTGACGTCACTGGCGGCGGAGACGCAAATACCCATGCACACAGCCCACAAACACAAATAAATCTCCCTGGAATGGCAAATTAAATGCAAGTGCAACAAAATGGGATAGGAAACACAAGACGATGCGGAAGGGAAGTGGGTGGTGGTCAGTGGGGAAAACTTTCGTCAGAAATGGTGCGACCAATAACAATGGAATCGATTGCAGCGGGGTTTCTGTTTTCTTGATTAGCCGTAACCCATTTTCCACTCGCCACCGGGTATATTACCAACCCAAAATACCCATCCGGAGAATTCACTTACCGCGCTTTACCGAATCCTCGTAGCTTATGCTATTGGAGTGTTTGGACTCCTTGGTGCCCATGGCCCAGAACTTTTTGTTTGCGGGGGTGCAACTGCGTTGGATTCTTGGGCTGCTCCTGCTGCTGCGTTGGTGGCGACGGCACTGCTCACATTTGTTTAACTTCACTTAACGTTCGCGGGCGGAATAACTTTCTTCGGTCAAGGATCAGGTGCAGGATCAGGATTATGTATATTATACACCTGTCTTTTTGGGTCTTGTGCTATTTTCTGTTTCTATTGCCTCTGGCGGGAGTTTTGCAACACTGTCCGAAACAGCTGTTTTTCCCCAAAGCCTATCGATAGGCGATACTTGAAAGCCAGTGATGGACAACAACTCTGACACCACCAGTTGTTAGCCAACACTGCGAAGAATCATATTTTTTGTACGGGCGTAATTAGAAAGCAGTAATTGAGTTAATTTCCACGTCCTAACCACAACAACAATTCGTACACTCGCTCTGCGAAGCGAGCGCCCTTGCATTTTCCCACCGGAAAATCCGCCGCGTTGAAAGCAAACACTCGGGCGCAGACAAAAAATCTTAAATCTACGTCGCCATTTTTGACACGGCTCCTAAATCGAAAACACAACACCAACACACCCAAAAAGAGCTGCGAAGAGAAGAAAAAACTATACGATTATACACGATTACGTCTAGGAATATTCGAATAACATTCAACAGCACGCATGGGTAGTACTCGTGATTAGTGTTATTAGCAAAGAATCACTTAATAAAGGAGTACAGTACATCACCCTTAACCCTTACCCTTGCCATTACCATCATTATCGGGGAGTTTGTGAGGAACGGCAACTGTGATCCTACCGCAAAAAAATGGCCAAGACCTACGACTATCTGTTCAAACTGCTCCTGATCGGCGACTCAGGAGTTGGCAAGACCTGCATCCTGTTCCGATTCTCCGAGGACGCCTTCAACACGACGTTCATATCCACAATAGGTGAGTGAAACGTCATCTCGTCTCCCCGATTTTTAATTAATTATGACACCTCTTGGTTCGCATGAACTCATTCGGAATTCGAGCTTTAGCAGGCCCAGTGACTCATGAGCTAGCGTTCTCCTCTTTTTATTTTGTACTATATTATTTGTCATAATTATTGCAGTTTTCGGGGGAGGGGCCATTTATAATGAATTTTCCGTAAACAACAGACCCAAAACTTGAAAATCCGGATGTCTCTACGTTATCTCAGCTAAAGATTCACACCCGCATAGGAAGTCGAACAGAAATAACTTTCAGACTCACCCAGAGTCTTTGTACTTTCCCAGCTCTTATCGCCCAAGAAGCCGGATTGTGTGATACCGAGGTTTGCCCATTAACTCACCGAATCGGGAGTGTTGTATTAACCCCAAAGACCAGTGCTTAGGGAAAGGAGGAGTCTAATCGGTTGTCCCTAGACAGTTTAAGAACTTTTCTAACACACAATACTTAGAGTGAGATAAAACAAAATCAAGTTAAAAATAATTGTAGCTCCCAGACCCTTATTAATAGATACGTTTCAAAAATGATTCCCCTTTAAGTCAAGAGAAACAAAAAAATAAATAAGATAATAAATTGCAATACTCTCAAGATTTCAGTAAAACACTGATATGACAAAAAGAACAAAGGCTTTTGTTACACAATAAAGTTTTAATTAATTACTATCGAATGTATTTTGAACGCTCAGTTGATGGTAATAATTATTTGTACAAGAAAACTTCGACTTATTAAAGGGATTATTCGCGCGGGAACAACATTTATTATATTGACAGTAATAGACAAAATTAATGTAATTACCAGAAAAGGAAAGCTTTACTCTAATAGTTATTATTTTGCATGTACAGTGTACTTGCTGTACTTGTAAACACAAAAGTCGAACGATTCCCATCCCTGCTCGTGGCTAATAATTGTTTATTTTCGTTTTTGGCACGTTTTTCTTGCGACACTTCCAATTTTGGGGCATTTACTTAACGACATTGTTTTAATCAATTGCGTGGTTTGTCGGTTTCTGTGCTTCTCTTTGTCTCTCTGTAATGCGACGTCATGGGCTCTGAACAAACAGGTTCAGCAGCTTGCCAAATTATTCAAATTAATTAGCGTGCGTGTGTGTATGTTCTCATCCGTTTTCTCTTTGCAGGTATCGATTTTAAAATTAGAACAATTGAGTTGGATAACAAGAAAATTAAGCTACAAATATGGTAAGTAATAAAGAAGTCAATCTGGAATTTATTTTTATTAATATTGATTACTATTGAATTTCCCAGGGACACTGCCGGCCAGGAGCGTTTTCGCACAATCACCACGGCCTATTACAGAGGTGCCATGGGCATCATGCTGGTATACGATATAACCCAGGAGAAGTCCTTTGAGAACATCAAAAACTGGATCAGAAATATCGAGGAAAACGCCTCCGCCGACGTCGAGAAAATGCTGCTGGGAAACAAGTGCGAATTGACCGATAAGCGACAGGTAAGTTTATGATTCTGAACACTGGCTGTATCAATTCGAGGTTAAATCAGTTGGCGGTTTTCCGTATACATTTTGATCAAAAATCAAAGATATATAAACAATTAAAAGACATTTTGTAGAATTACTTATACAGTTTAACAGCAATGTTTAAATAAACTGATATTTGATTATTTGTCCTTAAAAAAAAAAGTAGACCGGGTTCCCAATGCAATTCTAAACAGTGCTTAATTCAAATTTAACATAGAGTTGAATTCCTCTTTAGTTAGTGTCTGCGTTTTACATACTGGAGATTAAAATTTGAATTAAGTGATCATTTTAAAATGTTCTCCCCATTACAGGTTTCAAAGGAGCGCGGCGAACAATTGGCTATTGAGTATGGCATAAAGTTCATGGAGACCTCCGCAAAAGCCAGCATCAACGTGGAAGAAGCCTTCCTCACCCTAGCCAGTGATATCAAAGCGAAAACGGAAAAGCGGATGGTAAGTGTTTTGAGGGGGAAGCCCGACAAAGAGCTTTTGCTAGTGGCCAACTACAAATTTCTTTTGTGTGCACAGGAGGCTAACAACCCACCCAAGGGCGGCCATCAGCTGAAACCGATGGACAGTCGGACGAAGGACAGTTGGTTATCCAGGTGCAGTCTGCTTTGACGTGGCAACTTGCTTTCGGCACTGATGCGGCATGGTGGAAACGACTACGGGGCAGTAGTTTATGGTGGTAACTACGAGATAGTAGTTTTCTTAACTCTTAGGTTCAAATAAAGCCGGGACCCCAAACAAGCCAACATTAACTGACATCTAAATCAACCTTAAACATCAACAGCCGGCTCTCCCTAACCGAAAAAACGCGATAATGGAATAGAAAACAAATTGCATTATGAAACAGTTATTAAATAAAGTATATGACGTCATCGTGTACGAAATATACCTAGGAATGATAATATATATATATATATATACGTATATAACTCAGTTTAAAAAAATCCAGCGATAACGTAAAGCGAAGAGCAGCCAATCCAACCCGCCCGCGTCCTTCTCGAAGAGGTTTTAGTATTTACGGAATTATGATTTTCTCTAGCAGCCATGGTTGTTGTCGATTTGTAAATTATTACTTGTAAAACAAATATATATGTACTATGTATGCATATGATTAGTTCACGTGCCCTTGTTTTGCTCATTGCTTATGTGTACTTTCGATCGATTTACCAGCCCTTTGCCATTATGCTTAGGGATACGGAGGATGTCCAGACGCACAATTACCCAAATTGTACTCCCCGAATCCCAATCCCCTTACTTTACATCCTAAATGTGGTAGTATCGCACAGTTTAAGGGTGCTTTAATATTATTATTCTTCTTAATCTTCACACACATTTCATTCGGTTAGTTCGTACTCTATTTATTTTTTCTTTTCCGCACACCACACAACTCTGTCAATAAAACCGTTACATCTAATAAATAAACATTAATGAAGATTTGCAGACGAGGTCACCAATTAAAGGTAGTATCGAGTAAAATCGATCGACAGCAATAAACAATTATGAACACATACACAGCGCAGTAAATAATGTGAAATTAAATGATAACTAAATGCATATTTGATATTAATTAATTACTTGTAATATTAATGATTAAACGTATACAATTTTATAAAAATAAATCATGTGCAAAACCAAAGAAAGCTAGTTCTTATTGAGAAGGCTTTTCAAAATCTGTTTCGTAGCGGGAAACTTTTGTCGTTGTTCAATTTAACAGTGGATAACGCTCTGTTAACACATTTATGTCAAAAAACTTAAATGCTATATACGGAAAAGGATCTTGTCTATATAAAATTATTTGCTATTTAATTTCTGGTCACAGTCATAATAGAATGTGGAAAAAAGGGACATAAAATTGCCTAGGGAAATTGTTCTTGCCGATCATATCTACTTCGATATGGTCCAGTCTCTTGTAATTTTTTCCATATATCGCTAAAGCAAGACTTTTTTCGAGTGTTTTTCAGCCTCAAAGTTTAGCTCTTTCACGTTTATTATCTAATGCCATAAAACCACTTTCCTTTTTTATTTGAAAAAAATGAGGTTTATATATAGTGGCTGCCAGGAAAATATTTTGTATAGTTTTGTAATGCCCTCAGAAATTATGTTTAAAAGATTTGAGCATTGGCCCCAAATGCGAAACTTTAAACTATGTATTTTTGACCGAAAACTTTAGTGAGTTGAATAAAATTGCTCCTAACAGATAATTATTTAAATATGTATTTAAAAACAGTTTACAAAATAGCTGCACGGCATTGAGCTTAAGATAAACAGAGAGGGTGACTTATGTGTAGATACAAATAGATTGTGTAGATACAAGTAGATTGTACGATACGAACATTTAATTAGGAGGACCGCAACATACACACGCAGGAAGAGGTCCGGATTTGGGTTAAAAACGATGGACAAATGGTGGTAGGTGATTAGTGGCCATAAAGTGGGATTATTTATAATAAGCACAGAAGCTATAACTAGGAGGAATTGCACGTTGAAGGTCGGGTCCTGGCAGTGTGTTACGCCTGCGGCAGGTTCTGGTAGTAGGTGGCCAGGATTTGCCACGCCTCCGGCTCCATGAAGCCGTCCGGCGGACTGGCTCCGGTCTTGGCCAGGGTGCGCATCTTGGTCCCCGAGATAAACTCGAATTCATCCTTACGCTTAGGTTCAAAGAAGGCCATCTTACTGGTGCTCTTGTCGTAGGCAGCAACCCGGAACGGCAATATCTATGGAGTAGTAATAATTTTCTCAACCGTTATCAAAACATATATATATATTTCAGTATTAGTATAATTATGATATGAGTTTTCAACATGTAAATCAGCAGAAGTATTCTTAATTAATTCATATACTTATTTAAATCAAGATCTTTCAAAAACAATAAAATTGTAACTGTATTAATATGATGTTACAAAATGGAAAACGAATGCATTATTATAACTCTAGACGTCACGTTAAAATGCATTACATTTCCTAGGCATGGGCGCCTTCAAAATGTAAGCATGTGCCAAATCGAAATTCGATTTACACAATCTACTTGTACTATTTTTAGTTCCTTAAACTATATCCAGCAATTACTTTCTACTTTCAACCTTTTGCTGCTGGGTGTTCTATTTACCAAGGCGCTTTGGAAAGCTAAAGCTAGCAAGCAGTATGTATTGTTTATTTACTTCAACACCACAAATTCGCAGATTTAATAAAGCTGTTGTGTACCTTTTACTATCTCCAAAATAGGAAGATGAAAAGAGTATATAATTACTTTGGCAAAAATTCTAAATATATTTTGATAGATGATTTTTTGAGTTATACTAGTTGGGTTTCCCGACTTACCTCCATGCTGTCCAGTCCCTGGGCCATTTTCAGCACTCGCGCTCCATGCGTGGCGTCGTAAAGGTTGCCATCCGGGTAAGCCTCCTTGTCCGGATGCGGCATGCCCGCCGGATCGCGGCCCACGATATAGAAGTTTGCGCCGGCGTTCATGCGAGCCTTGGCGTGCCACTGCACCTCCGTGGGACCGGCGTACATCATTGGCGAGGGGAAAATGGCCAGCACAGTGTCTTCGCGGCGGAGAACACCGGCATCGAGGACGGCCTGGTGCTGCTTCATGCGCACGTCTAGGGGCACGTCGTCGTCTTTGGTCCAGCCACCCAGGGGGTGGAGCAGCAGAACCGGCTGCTTGAAGCCGCGATCCAGCAACTGGCGGCGAGTGTCCTGCATGAGGAGTGCATGCCCATTGTGTATGGGATTGCGTAGCTGAAAGGCGAAGATGGCGTCGGCGTTAATCTCCTTGAAACGACGCCTCAGCTCGTTGGGAGTCAGCCTATACTGATCCAGACCGTCCTCCCAGCGAATCCGTTCGATCACAGCCAGATCGCCGCCGACCAGATAATCTCCGGACTCGAGGACCTGCTTGCTGTATGGATGATTGGGATTGCTGGTGCCGAACTGACGGGCCAGCCGCTCCTCCTTGCGCTGGTAGTAGAACTCTGGACGGCGCAGAATAGCCACCGGTTTGCCGTTGTATTTTAGCGTCAGCGATGAGGAGCCATCCAGACGATCCTTGTCCGCCTGGCTGGCACTCAAAACGATGGGCACCGAGTGGTTCTCGCGATAGGAACCATCCAAGCCGCTCTGGAGTGTGTTGAAGTGCAGCGTCTGCAGGTACTCGTCCTCGCGCATGAATCCTCGGAGTGGATAAGCCCATCCTTCGGCCAGTACCTGCACCCACTGCAGCTCCACGGTGCTGATCTCGATGGCCTGGAGCGAGTTGGCCTCGTGACGCAGTGCCTCCGTGGCAATGGATTCGCTGGGGTACAGTTCCGGCAGTTGATCCACGTCGCGCAGTGAGCGCGGAATGATGCCCTCCTGTTCGAGCAGTGAAACCAGCTTTTGCGTCGACTCCTGGACAGTGTAGCCGTGGGTGTTGACCACCAATTCCGGCTTCTGCGGCCGCTCGTACTCCTGCGTAATACCCGTAAAGCCCTTAATAACGCCCTCGCGAGCCTTCTTGTAAAGTCCCTTCACGTCCCGCGTTTCGCACACGTCTAGCGGAGTGTCCACGAATATTTCGTAGAACTTCAGGCCCGCGTCCTTGTGGATCTTGCGCGCCATTTCACGATCGTCGGCAAAGGGGGACACAAAGCTACAGATGGCCACCACCCCGCTGTCAGAGAACAGCTTGGCCACCTCGCCCACGCGGCGGATGTTCTCCTCACGATCGGCGGGCGTGAAGCCAAGGTTCTTGTTTAGTCCGGTGCGGATGTTGTCGCCGTCCAGTCCGTAAGCCGGAATACCTCGCGACACCAGGTACGCCTCCAGCTCGAAGGCGATCGAGGTCTTTCCAGCACCACTGAGGCCTGCAAAAGGATGGCAATAAATGTATTTTTTAAATTTATATAGAATATTATCTACTTTAAATTCTACTTTACAAAACCTATTCTTCTCCGCTTTGGTGTCTAAAATATAGCTAATAATTTAAAAATTAGAATTAGAAAGGCATTTTTAAATTTAAAGTACATCCGTATTTCTTGGAATTGACAGCATACTAATGCTAATTTAGAAAACAAAATCAATTTAAGAATTAGATTATACAGAGATCTTGCTGAAAGTTGCAAGTTTTTTTTTGCAAAAATTTAAAAATTTTAAAAGAATACTCGTTGGGTATTCAAATAAATGTAATACAACTTTGCATTTTAGACTTAAATAAATAAATGCATTGATTTATTTCCATGATAGATATGCATATGATCGCTTTTTGCAGGATTAAGAAACAAATAATAATGCTGTAAGGATATGGTCTTACCAGTCAGCCACACAGTGCATCCTCGGAAGCCCCGGCACAGCCCCAGATTCTTGCCGCGCGTCTCCCTGGTGACATGGTGCTTTTGCTCGGTCACATTCGTCGCCACCTGTAGGCACTGCAAACAGAAAAAAGCGAAAGAAGAACAATTTTGGTTTAGCTTTCGAAATTATCATAAATTAATATTCATGTCAAGTTGGGATGGCGATGAATTCCGCCTCGGGCCCCTTGGCGGGTCTTTTAGCTTTTCAGACGGCCACAAAGCCAAAGTCAAAGCTGAATCCAGAGCCGATGGCAAGTCATCATCGAAATAGTTCGCTTTGACCCCAGGGCGATTCGTGCTGAGGTCCAACATTCAGTTTGTTGACCTTCCGCTGGAGCTTGAGTGTGCAGAATCGCGAATGGAATTACGCGATATGGTTAGAACGCAAGGGTTTGGGTCTCTATCTCAAAGTGAAAAGTTAGCAAATATTTGCTTTTTCTTGGTAAATTGCTTTGAGTTTCAGTACTTCCAAAAGACGTATGCATTAAAAGTTTTAAAGATATTTTAAAAACTTAATAATCACTTTCTGTGTATGAAAAAATGCATTCATTTCTTACGTTGCATAACTTATAATATATTTTTTTTCTATATATTTTTTAGTTTGATTGTTATTTAGTTAATATGAGAATAATGTGTTTCTAACTAAATATTTACTCCCAAATTTTTCTGAATAACTTACAACAATGAAAATGCATTATAGATTTACATTCAAATTAAAAATTAAGTTTAGTCTTCACAATACAATCTTTTTGTGTACCATTTTATTTACCATTTCATCGAAAATCGTAAAAATTTGAAACAGAAAATGTTCCCTTAGTATTCGCAATAGTTTTGAATAAAAATCGTATCTATTTGGCGTTCTTCGTGAATGGTTTAGATGTGGGTCACTGTGCTAGATTGTCACTTATATGTATTCCTTTCCCCGTTAATGATATCACTTCCATAAAGACAACCATTTCTTGCTCACGTTTATTGAGCAACTTAATTCAGATTTAGGTGTTTAGTGGCACAATAATTTAGGTTATTTCATTCTTTATCCCTTTATTGCCCTTATTTTAACAACGAAGACATACTTCTAAGTTGTTATTAACTTTTTTGTACGCTTTGCTAGCCTTACCCTTCTCTTAATATGGGGATAAAATCCAATGGGCGGATTCGGCATTGTTTTCTTTGGAATATTTTGCAATGTACAGGGAGCTATTACTTTATTATTCGCTCAGTTACGGTTCGCACTGATAGCGGTGCGTATCCGATATTCAGATTGCGTTGAAAACGAGCTCACGGATGTGAAAAAATATTCGTCATAGACACGCGACGAGCGATGAAAACGAACTGAAAGTTTTTAATAATATTTACGCCATTATATGGCGCACTCTGACTCCATCGCTACTGGAATGGAGAGTGGAACTCACAGAGAGAAAAAGAGGCGGAGAGATCGCCCTCAGATCCGCCGATTCATCTCGCTCTGAACTCTCGATCGGCGGTCCACGCACGCATCATTTACACTCTTAAGACTCATGTGAGGAATATGGGGAATGTTTGCACAGTCTTTCCCTCGTTTCTTTCAATTTTAATCTCCCCCTTTCTTTGCCTTTTAAACCCCTTTATATACTTTTGCAGGGGTGCTTCTCACGGCTATGCTCGAAGCTAATCATTGTCTCAGGCTGTTAGTCCGGCTCTTAGATAAGCTTTTAAAGTACGCCGCATATTTAAGCAAACCATTTTACACACTGATAAAAAGGCCAGCACATGGAAAAGGGCTTATCGCCTTCCATATTTGATACTTCTTAAAAGCAGCAGAAATACTGCCAAATACTCCTACACAAAAATGATTTATAATTTATAATTCTTTATCGCTAAATTTTATCCGGAAAGTTTCTACAAATAAAACAATAGAGACGAAATGGAAAATGCCAACCAAGAAGTCAAGACTAATACAAAGAGGTTACTAAACATACGGTTCATTTGAAGACGAATCTCCATCTTTTTAAAATTGTGCTGATTTAAACATAGTGGATTAATAAAAATGGTTTTATATTTATTCAGATCTGAAATGGAGTTTTCGAGCCGATGTTGGATATTAATACCTACTGAACTAACTGAAAAATTCCGAATTTTTTAATAGATAAATAATTATATTAAAGTTTGGGGTTTTTAATGTGCAAATATTCTTTTTGCTTTCAGTGCTAAAGATTACCTAATAAGCAATCTAACAAATCAACTAAACTGTAAGGATATGCCTTTAAGTTAACTTTCTAGATTTAATAATTTAATTACAGCTTTAAAAAATGTATATAAGAATTCGGTATAAATAGAAATCTGCGACTTTTTGTTTACCTGATAAGATGGTCGTCATAAGAGTATTTAGCAAACAAACAAAAAAAACACTAAAAACACTTCATCCGAATGGAACTTACCGCATCTTCTGATTTTTCCACATTTGAGAGGCAGCACTTCGTGGAAGCAGCACTGCCATTGTTATTGTTATTATTATTATAGTGGCCAAGCGAATTGGCACATCGGGTAAACATTTTTCCCCAAACGAAACGAACTCTTGGCAGGTGAAAAGAAAGCGGGAGTCGAACAATGTACTCTTTGATAATTAAACAAGTGAGAGTTTTCGAGCCACACCGCAGAGCACCACAGCTGAAACCGAAGTCAAACGCCAAAAACACTGAACTTTCTCGACGAAGCTCGAAACTGCAACTAAAAATCCACGGGCTGCAGTCGAGGCGAAGACCGAGACAGCTACGTTGGCACTTGGCCGAAATAGAGATCCACCTAGGAACTTGTTTATGGAGGGTTTAGCTAACAAACTCCTCATAAGTAGACTCAAATTTGCATTGTTTTTGTTGTAGATAAAAACTGTCGTTTAAACAGCTAAGTACACTTATTTTGAAATGTAGGTTTAAATAATATAATTTGGGGATTTACTAAGATTAACAATAGCTTTTGGAACAGTCGAAATAGGTTACGAGTACCAAAAAAACTAATAATCATAAAACCCGAAAATTGCAAAGTTTTTACTCGACTTTATAAGTCTTTATAAAAATAAACATTGTTGCTATTCAGAGTTATCTGTTTTGTTTTTCTCGGATATTAATCAAGATAGTAGTAGTATCTTTGGATGAACATTGCTCAATCAGCACTATTTCAAAAGCCATTTAGTTAGGTAATCACTATAAATGATTAAATTAATGACATTTAAGTTAACACGTAATGCAATGACGGATAAAAGTAAAAACCATTAAAGCCAAATGTTTATTTGCGCTAGGAAAAACAAACTTATCACTATAAAAATTGCTTGAATAGTAAATTAAAAAAAATAAAAAAAAAAGGAATGGGCTTTATTTATGGACTGTGGGTTGAAACAGTTCTGAAGCACCCCGGATAATATTTTCTTCGGAGTTGATCTGCCGCAAAAGTGTGATTCATATATGTGTCAAAAAACAATATCGCGAAATGAAGATACAGCGAAGAGTTGTCACTGTGGTCATTCAACCTGCAAGAGAAGCCGGGTTGTTGGCCAAGTTTTCAACTACTTTTGACCAGCTCCAACAATGTGGCTTATTCGTGTTCATGACTTAAGCGCGACTTGTTTACAATTCGCTGATACCACTTTAGTCTCCTCGGAAGACTTTCTTTCTATTTTGAACCTGTTTCAGCAAAAACAATAACACTTTTTGTGGTAACCAGTTGTTATCAAGGAAATAGTTGAATGTTGCATAAGGCACTTTAAGAGTCTTACATTGTTTCAAAAACGGTAAAGATTATTTGTGATTGCAAAAGGAGTCATTTAAATGGGCAGTAAAGACTAATATTACATTTTCTTTTAAGTGCAATTTTCACCACATGCAGGATTTATACTCATACTGGAGTGATATGAAAAATGATTTTTTTAAAACTACTCACTAGATGTTATTCAACAATTTTCTGTTAAATAACTCCCTTTTTATTTTTTTTGTTTTGGGTATCAAAGTGATAATTTTAATATTTTTTGAAACTCATTTAAATGTCCGGAATGCTGTGATTTGCCTACATACATGTACTTGTCAACAAATTAAGCTTTTGAAATAGTAAAATGCAACCTCTGCATTTTTATTCGCATGTTGGAAACGCTTCTGCTGAATCAACAATTTACAAAATCCTCTTCAAACTTATAATATTTGCATACATTGTAGCTAATCATTCCATTTGTATTTTGACCGCACAATCTAGGAAATTATATGCTTATAATCTTATCAATTGCCGGCATTCATTATAAAGTTTGACCAAAGTACTCATTTGATGCTTTAGGTAGTCAATTGCGAATGAAAACTGGGTTAAGAAGCACATACTTATAGTAAAAGATAAGTCTAGGAGGGGAATTCTGGCATTACGTGTCTTTCGGATCCATATGGAAAAACATAAGGGTAAATAGTTCGAGCGGGAAACGTAAACAAAGAGTTTTGGAACTGCGGGACAGATGAGATCTGGAGAAATTGTCAAACAACCTGCGGCTGTTCAAATTGAGTGATAAATTAAGCATTATATTTCACATCTGGAGTACAATTTTTTCGGCACACTTGTTCAAATAGAGCTAAAGTATATACGTTTTTTCGGGACAGGTCCACTTTTTCCGTACTCACCGTCTTCTGACGCTTTTTACTGCTCTCCGGCACTTCGCTCATTTCCGGATTGGAATTAAACTATGACTATGACCCACTAAAAAAGCACGTCCTCTTCGCGAGCACTTGCAAACAATACTGCGAAATGTATCACTTCGAATCGAATTTCGGCCCAATCGATGAATGAAATGTGCCACGGACGCGGTTTGTGGGCGTTTTTTACGGTTTCTACATATGTATGTAGGTGTTTCGCTCGTGGCAGCTAAAGACTTGCACTAATTTGCTTAAACTTTAGTTCTAACTAACAAAACGTCTACAATATGCCTACGAAAAATGTATTATTTCTAATTCACATGCACACAATCGCCCACGCACACCAGTGCAACAATCGACGCTCAGCTGATTAGAGATGTGCAAGAATTCGATGGTTACGCGAAGGAAATAAACCAAAAAATTCAGAGTTAAATACAAAAAATAAATAAACATTGGAAAAGCTTTCGTTTTTAAAAAAATTAATTCATTTCTTAAAGACAATATTTTACAAATTTAAACAATTTTTTAGATTTCAAGAAAACGAATGTAAAATATATAATAAATATAACAAGAACGGCAAGCATTACACACATATTTACCCTTTCAGATATAACACAAATGTAATGTTTATAATTATATGTTTAAAAACAATGAAGTTATTTAAATTTTCCGAATTCAGCTATATAATATAGCCGTTGAATTTTGTTTTCAATTTAAAAATGTATTTTTTTATTATTATAGGTTGAGTTTCAATCGTATTTGACAAAAAACAAAAAAGAGTTTTTTGATTTGAACGTGTTTTGCAAATGCTACGCAATGCATTTTTGAAAATAGCACAACTTTTGTTAATGCTAAGCTTTTTAAATATTTTGATTCAAAAATATATATTTTTCAGCATTCTTTTTTTTTAAGTATTTGTTATAAGACTATTCGCTAATTTCCTATTCGTTTAATATTATGCCAAATCTGTCAATGTCGGCTATATCCAAAATTGAACTTTGTTTTGAATGTACGTTTATTGCAAATACATCTGATAAATAAGTGATTAGGACTAGGCTTACAATTAAGGAGTGTCTACGATCTAATAGGGGGGCGGTTGGTATTGCTGCTGCTGGCCCATCATGTTCTGCCGCTGGAGCTGAGCCACCAGGTTCGGCGTCTGCTGCTGGTTCATGCTCTGCTGCTGCGGCACCATACCACCCCCACCGCCTCCACCAACTGCTCCGCCAGGCTGCTGGGGCCCCGATCCCATTCCCCCGCCGGCGCCACCACCCATGCCCTGCATTTGCATCATTTGCTGGTGCCTGAGCTGCTGTTGTTGCTGCTGCTGTTGGAACTGTTGTTGGGTGTTCAGGACACCAGGTTTGCCGCCACCCGCCGACTGCTGACGGGCGTAAGGAGGCACCTGCCCGACCACTCCGCCTGGACCCGGACCCATCATATTGGACATGGTAACATTGGGCGCCTGGTTCATGTACTGGTTCCTGTTTCCGGCCATCATTCCTCCGGGAACAACGCGTTGCTGCTGCTGTTGTTGCTGCTGCTGCTGTTGGGCAGCTGCCACCGCCATGAAGTCGGGATTGTTGCGATTCGCCTGCTGCATCTGCGGATTGAAGTTTCCCATCATGTTGGCCTGTTGCTGTTGCTGCTGATTGGGCGCCATGCCCACCCCCACGCCCACTCCAACGCCAACTCCAACTCCAACGCCTGCTCCGCCGCCTTGTTGCTGCATTCCTTGCTGCTGTTGTTGCTGTTGCTGCTGGTACTGATTCTGGAAATTCTGGAATTGAACCTGCTGCTGCGGTTGTTGTTGCGGCTGCTGTTGCATCATTCCCTGCTGTGGCATGCCGCCCATGCCCATGTTGGGGTTGTTGCCGGCGCCGCCCACGCCTCCAACGCCTCCCACGCCGACACCAACTCCAACGCCGACTCCATTGCCACCCTGACCACCACCAGTCTGCATCATTTGGTTCGCATTCGGATTGACCATGCCCACCATATTTTGCGGCATCTGTTGCTGCATCATCGGATTCTGCGGCATGCCCTGGCCGCCCATGTTCATTTGATTCATCTGGTTGGGCGCCATGCCAGGTCGCATGTTTCCGCCGCGCAAGAACTGCTGCTGCGTCTGCTGGTTGGGGTTCATCTGCTGCTGCTGAGCGTTCTGTTGCTGCTGTTGCATGGCATTGAAGGCGGCCACAGACTGCGGGTTCTGTTGGGGATTCATTTGCTGCTGTCGCATTTGGTTGGGATTCATCTGCTGCTGAGGACCCGGTTGTTGTTGCGATGGCTGCGGTTGTTGTTGCATCGGATTGAAGCCGCCGCCGGGTCCCTGTTGCGCTTGTTGCTGCTGGAATGGCTGACGCTGACGGAGCATTTGTGATAAGGCCTGTTTGGAGTTTGCGTTCAAAGGTGGCCTCTCGATGCGATTTGCTAAAATTTAGAGTTACAAGGATTACCATCTTGATCCGCTTTAAATCCTTAGGTTTCGACTTACATTGTATGTTCTGCTGGTGCGGAGCGTATTGATTGTGGTATGGCTGTGGCGGTTGCTGCTGCTGCTGGGCATTGTGCCACTGCTGCTGCTGGCCAGGCATACCCTGAGGACCGCCTCCGCCGCCACCAGGACCCTGTTGCATGAAGTTCATCTGGGGATTCTGCTGCCCGTTGCCACCGCCCACATTCAGCTGCTGCTGCAGCGGATTGTTGCCCATTTGCTGCATCTGCTGCTGTTGCAACATGGCGTTCTGCTGCATCATGTTGTTCGGATTGGGTGCAAACTGCTGCATGTTCATCTGTGGAAGAGATCATATTCTATTAGTTTGAAATATGAAGAAGTTAAGAAGAATAGTCTATCACCTAAAAGGTTAAGAAAATTTATTTTTCAATTTTTAAACTGGAATTTTTGTGCAATTTTTTCCTTCATTTTTTGCTTTTTTGGTTGCTTTGTTTTTTTTTTGAAAAGAACATCTAGTGTCTTCAACTTCAATTAATAGGCCCTAATCATTGGCTTACATTTGTTGGATGTTTGAAATCCTGATTTTCTCACATATTTTTTGTGTACCCCAAAACTAACTTTCTTACCGGCATATTCATTGGCATCTGACCCATCGGATTGTTCTGCATCTGCTGCTGTTGCATGTGTTGCTGCTGTTGTTGCTGCTGCTGTTGCTGCATTTGCTGTTGCTGCACATTCTGCGGTTGTTGAGGCTGTGGCGCCAACTGTGGCTGTTGTTGCTGAGTGTTGACCACGGGCGGCGTCTTCGGATTCTTGGGCTTCCGTTTCCGCGTCGTCGTTCCCTTGCCACGACCCCTTCCAGTGCCGCCCACTACAGCGCTTGGTGACTGATCCACGGACGAAGGCGTGTCCGCCTTCATTTCATCCTTCTGCGAAGTGAAAACCAATTTTTAGAAAGGGTTCAAAAACAATTGAAACAAAAGGACTCACTATGCAAATCTTCTCAGGCACGGGCTCAATATCTTCGGGCGGCAGCGGCAACGGTTCATAGTAGTAGCTACTGGGCTTGACCAGACTGTGCGTGTGATACTTGAGATTGCGGTGCGCTTCCTCGTAGGTTAGAGGCTTCCGCTCCAGCTTCACTGCCCCGAACCACACCCACGAGAGCGGCGCTGGGTTCTTGTGCCCCTCCAGGATGTCCCACACACTAATGCGCTGCTTGTCCGATATGCGCAGTTGCTTCTTGTCCATGTCGCAGATCTTGTTGCCCTTTGTGTCCATTCCAGCGTGTTCACATGCAATTACCTAATCACAGAAATACTAATTAGTTTCCAAATAAATCCGTTGGTTATACAATCACTCACCTCGGTGGGTTGCTTATATAGCGGAAGAAGCTGCCGAATGACCCGAATGGAGGCGTTGTTCTTCTCTCCAATCTCCTTCTTCAGCTTCTTCATGAGGTTCATGTAGTGCCTCTCGTCGTCAGAAACCAGTGTCGAATGAACCAGGGTGGCCAGCATGTCCACCACTGTGGTGAAGAGTTCCCGGTTGCAGCTGAGGTCCACCACGCCCTGGCACACCAGTTGGGCTAATAGAATAGCCCAATCTGTTGTGGGCGTGCTGTTCTTCTGAATGGCCTCAAACATTCCGCCCACTAGAGAAAAGCGCAACTGCAAAGCATCAAGAATTTCCTCCCGTGCCTGCGGCTCATCAATACCACCGATTGTGTCCAGCTGAAAGGCAAAATATTAATGTTGAATTCATGCCAAATTTGACAAATAAGCACGTACCTCAGCAAATGACTGCAGACATTGGGAGAGTTGAGCATAGAGGGAGACCAGTAAGTTCTCCTTGTACTCGTCCTGGCCTTTGAGACAGGTGAGAATGAGGCCCAGGAAGGGCTGGTAATTGAGCGGCATCTTCTTGTTGCGGGCTGCAATGCCACCCAGCCCATAGCTGTTGCTACTGTGGCAACTGTTGCTCTTCTCCCGCTCGTCCCCGCTGCCCGAACTGTTGCAGTCGGACTTGGACACCTTGGAGAAGTAGTTCATGCTCTCCAGAACCTGACCAGCAACTCGCAGAATCCTGCCCTGAACTGCCGGCGTCAGCTTGGCGATCAAAGGAGCCACCAGCCAGGTGGACGGTTTGGGTTTATGCGTCGCCTTCAAAGCACCTGGCAGAACGACCTCCTCCATGTGGAAGACGTCGATAGCCGCGCGTGCCACCGTGTCAAGCCAGACATTCAACTCCGCATTGTTGCTTAGGGATTGGCGGTACATAAGCTGCAAGTCCAGCCATGAGATACGCAGTGTCCACTGACCCAGATTCTCTAGGATGCGGACGATCATCGAACGCTGGTCCAGCTCGGATATGATGTTAAATTCAGCCTCCGGATAGCAGATCATATGCAGCACGCGTTGCGCTTGTTTAGCGGTCAGCATTTCGTCGATTATCATGTCGCACAGCTGCTCAGCGTTCTTGAGGCACCTCTCCAGGACATGCTCCTGGGCACAGATCTGCTTGAGCACCGCCTGGGCAAACTCGAGCAGGGAGATCTGCTCCATTCCGCCTACTGACGGCTGTTGCAGAGCTTCTGGTTCGCTTATCAAACTACTGCCCAACTGAAGATCACTGGTGCCTAGGATTTGGCTAAGATCGGCGGGTCGCTGTTCGTTGCTTTTTGGCGTGCTACCCGGATGCACTGGCGTATTAAAACCACTTCGCTTACCGCTTCCGAATGCGCCGCCCAAACCCCCGGAGGAGGAAGACCCACTGCCAACGGCTAATGGTGTCTTGAGCGCCGCATTGTCCACCACAATGAGAATTGCCTTGAGAACGGCCAGCACTGCGGCTATCGGTATGGTCTTGTGGGCGCCCACCAGTA